ATAAAGGCTAGTTAGTAAAATTTTTTATGTAGATTTCTCTAACGTCAACTTCTGGCTGATAGTGTTTTAACGTTTTTCTCCAGTGATTAACTTTTGTCTTTCCTGGTAGGGAGGGGAGGAAGGATGCTTTTGACAACTTATGTTCTCCTTTTAGGCAAACAAAAGGGAGGGCATGGAGCTTTCTTTATATCTGCTATTTTTCAATTACCTTCAGCTAAAAATAATCCTTATGCCAAAGTGGCATATCTGATCCTCTTCCTTGGTACATGACCTGGAGCACAGGGGACTTCACTGGGGATACAAAGTTAGGAATCGTTGGTACAGGGATGGTGTGGTATGTTGAAAAAAATGGTCCATCCTCCAAAAGTCATCTGTATCCTAATCCCTGGAACCTATGAATGTTACCTTATATGGCAAAGATGTGATTAAGTTAAGGATATTGAGATAGGCAAATTATCCACAAGGGTCCTATGCGCCAGCACAAGGGTCCTTCTAAGAGACAGGCAGAGGGGTTTAGCGCACACAGAGAGGGAGGAAATGTAAGGATGGAGCAGAAAGATCTGAAGATGCTGGCCTTGAAAACTGGCTTGATGTGGCCAGGAGCCAGAGAATGGCAAAAGCTACTAGATGCTGGAAGAGGAAGGGAACAGATTCTTCACTGGAGCCTCTGGAATGCAGCTCTGCTGACACCCTAAGTTCAGCCCAGTGATGCTGAAATTGGACTTTTTGCCTCCAGAACTGAGGGAATGAACTGCTTTTGTTTTGAGCCACTACGTTAGTGGCAATTTGTTAAAAAACCACAGGCAGCTAACAGAGTATTATGCAAAGGAACAAGACCGACTGAGGAGAAGAGCCTGTGTCTTCAGAGGAGGCGGCCCCCGTCTGAGGTCTGAGCACAGTCCCACAGAGGAGACAGCCTCAAAGAAAAACAGGATGGCCCAGAGGAGTACAGTGGGTGAACTTAACATCCACAACACCAGTGATGCCTAGTCTCATTTACACTTCCTATTTTGCCCACTCAGCCATAACACTGAAAAAGCAAAACACTGAGTTCTTCCCACTTCTGGTGAGCCTAGAGGAATGACTCCAGGCTTGGTTGAGCTTAGCGGGGGAGGTAATTTTCATGTTTGCAAAAGATTGATGCTTTGCATTATTTCTCTTTTCATGTAAGAATTTTGAAATAGATATGAAAATCAGGGCATTACCATATCTTAACAATCCAGCCGTATAGGCAGTTCTCAAATATTACCAGGGTATATCTCAAAAATCTGTTTTTATGTCACTTGTTCTGACACATTCTTTCCTGTTATGAGCACATTCACGAGATAAATTTAGTCATAAAGAAACTGATGGAGAGGGTAAAATTGAATAAAAGGTCTTTTTGGACATACCTCACCATTTTATGGAAGTAGAGTAACTTCTCTACTCTAGCCAGACACCACAGAAAACACTGTGGTTGCCACCTCTACTCCACCAGCAAAGACTGAGTGGGGAGCCTGCATTTCCACCACTGCCAGGTTGCAATGGGGCACCCCAAACCCCTTAGTTTCAGGTGCACAGCAGAGTGGCTAGGCCTTTATGTATATAAATTACGCAGTGATTTTCAGCCCCCCACACCCCAAATATGTCTAGCACCCCCACCTGGCACCATGCATGGAATAAAAGAGGTTTTAAACTTAAAAAAAAAAAAAGGAGTAGAGATGCATGTTTTCTACAAGCAGTAATGTAAACGGGACAATTAGTTTTAAAATCTGAACTTCTTGGACTTTCATAAGAGACTCAGCCTTGAAAACCCTTTGACTTTCCTATACTATGGGAGAAGGCAGGAAAATGCTTTGGTAAACGGAGACGTCATGAAAACATGCCTCTGCACTGGGATTTCAACAGAATGGTTGCCATGTAGTGAAAGATGACCCCCTAAAAATTTTGAATTGTAAATAAGTCGCCAATGGAAAAAAGAGATACGAGGACGCAAAAGCGCCGTTGCCTCCAATTACACCAGAATCCTGCCCTCCTCTCCTGACCCCTTGCTGTTCCCAGAGCCATTGGACATTGGGACCCATCGTGGGGCCACTGCCTGAAGCCCTGCTCTCCCTTCAAGCCCAAGTGCATTCCTTCCTTTTGTTCCTTCCGAATGTCTGTGGGACAGTTCATTGTATTTCCCCTTCTAGAAGTTACCTGAGTTAGGATTTTTCCCAGTTGCTTCTTGAGAGCGCAGCAGGCCTTTGCATCCCCGGCAGCCCTGCACCCTGCGCAGCTGTGAGCAGGCAGCCAGCGCCGGCCTGGCCCATTCCCGCTCAGTACCCTGGCCGGCCCTGGCTTACCGTCGCTTGCCCGGTATCCTTCCCCCGATGTTCTGTCCGGTGATTGTGGAATAGGAGTGGAATACTAGTGCCGGAGGCCAAGTGAGACTTTAACGAGAAATGAATCAGCAGAAAAAGTACAGGACAGTAACATGTGGTAAAATTCTGATGGACTTAAATACTGGTGTGTAGTTCCCCCTTTTATGAGAAAATCGATCACTTTGTGAGGAAGATTAAGTGGTTGTTTTATACCCATCTCAGGAGACCAACATCACAGAATCCTAAAACTAACAAATAAAAAGATGCAGAGAGTGGACTTCTGCTTCTGGGGTGCTGCGGCACATAGACTTTTCCTGTTCCCCCACTGAGTACCATTAAAACCCCTGGACATTCCATATGAAATAACTTCAAGAAGGATGCGCAGTGAAAAAAGGAAAGCCGACTGAGGGGCTTCAGGCCTGAGGAACCGCAGGTAGCGAGTTCTTGGTGGTTTCTTTTTGCTTCTTATATCCCAGTCTTAGAGCTGGAGAAGCTTCAACTTGGAATTGCCAATCGATGCAGAGAACAAAAGTCCACACAAAACCCTGCTCTCTCTAGACAAAGAACCAGGAAAGGGGCAACCTTGCAAGACAAACCCTTTAGACAGTGACTTCTGTACTCTAGCCAGACACCGCAGAAAACACTGTGGCACCCGCCTCTACTCCACCAGCAAAGACTGGGCGGGGAGCCTGCATGTCCACCACTGCCAGGTGGTAACGGGGCACCCCAAACCGCCAGGTGCCCCATTGCCGTAAGTGGGATTATGTGGGGAGGCTACACCTCCTTATGGTATTTACGGATTGGAAGACTCAACATTGTAAAATGTATCAATTATTCCCAATATACACATTTAATGTAATTCCTTCTGTATTTTGCTTTGGGCTGTGACCAGTTACATCCATGTATTCAGACGTATTGAGTTATATACGCAAAATTTGTGTACTTCATTTTTTGTAAGTTGCATGCGCGTGCGCACACCCCACCCCATACTCAGAGCATTCTCTTAGTCCCATGCATAATTTTTTGTCGCAAAATTATGTTTCAAAAATGTACCGTTGAAAGCATCTTTCCTTTCAGTGGTCTAACATCCTTTGGATTAATGCTTGCCATAAGATAATGCTTATAATTTATTATAAGTTGTGGTGGCCGTGTGACCCACTCTGAGGCCTGAGACCACGCTCACGTGCTGCTGCAGTAGGTTGACCCCAGCCTTGCATGTTTCTCCTTCCGGAGCCCATCGAGCCATCTGTGTCCCTGGGACTTAGAGGAGGCGCCACCTCAGGGAGAGTGAGCTTCCCGTGCCCCTGTCTTAGGGTCAGGGCAAATGTTGTGCCTTCAGGATTTCAGCAAACAGATGAGAAATGAATCCTGCTCTCCAAATCCCCCAGGACAAGGTGACCCCCACGTGGGGTGAGGTTGGGGGGTCTTCACAGGGGCAGGATCTTTGGTTTGCTTGTAACACTGGTGCTTGAACCTAAGTGCTTCATTTTCTTCACTCTGTCTAAACGAGGTGAATTTTAGGAGGCAACAGCTCTTTCCTCTGCTCCGCTTCTACATCCATCAAGACACAGGGTGCCTGAGATATTCTAACCAGAACGAGGTGTAGCCCCGCGGTAAACAGCTGACCTTCTGGTTTACACACCTGGGCCTGGGCTCTGTGAACCAGCCTGGCTGTTGTTCAGCAGATTCAGAGTCCAGGACGTTCTCCCCTGCCTCCCCGACCCCTGAGGGCCAAGCCTTCAGTCCCTCCCTCAGTGATCTCTCTCTGTTGATTCAATGATGACCAATTTAAATAAAAGGCCTAACACAAAAATCAGGCAAATATGTTTAATTTTTTAAAATAACTGATGGCAAAATAAAATATTTACATCACATCATACTGTGTAAACATGTAAGGTCTCTGTACAAAGAAATATACATGCAAAATAATGTAAAAATTTAACTGAAATGATAAAAGAAACAATACACAAATAAAAGTCGTGAGGTTACGAATACACATCCAGTTCTGAATCCAATTTCTTTTAAAAAGTTTCTGTACAATTTTACAAGAAACAAACAAAACCCAACAAAAGAATAAATAAAATACATTGGAAGCTGCAAATCTTAACTACGCCACTTTATGGCTCAAGACCCAGGTGTCCGGCTGGCTTGGGAAGCAGCTGGCCTCTGTTTTAGTGTATTTCACACAACAAAGATAAAAAGACATCCAGAAAAATTCAAGCGTGCCCAGAAACGCAGCGTCTTTTGTGGAAGGCCTTCCCACACCAGCGTTAATTCTGCCACAGTGACTCAGACATGGGGCGCCAGCCTCACGGCTGCTAGTGCTGAATTGGCTTTTATTTCTTACCAAAAGCTCAAAGTCCAGCCAATTTCTATACAGAAAGTTGAACGTCAAAAAGTCTAAAAAGTAGTAAATGTCCAGACTGATTTTGGGAAAAAAAATAATACTTTGGCATTCTGAATAATAGCATAATAAAATTTAAAACATTACCCTATTATCCAGTTTTATATTCAGAGTATGAAATCACTTTTTTACAGTCCTCAAAACTGACAAATTTCACGAAGAGTTAAGTCTCCTTGAATGGATGGCACAGGGCTACAACCCCCTACCCCTCGCCCCACCCCCGACACACGCACAAAACCATAAAGCTCACCGTACGAAGTATGTGCTTTTTCTATATATTTATTACAGGTACAACAGAGGTCTTCATAAATAGTTGCATAAAATGTTAAAGCCACAACATTGCACATGATATGAAATAAAACCAAAAAAACCCCCCAATGAGTGCATTTACAGTATTTTCATCTGACTGTATACTGCTCAACAATCTGATTGACGGCTTGGGGGTGGGGGCAGCGGGGCAGGGCCCAACCTGATGTCCTCAGTGGATGGGCAGAACCCTCCGACCTCCAAAGGAAGCCCCAGGCAGAGGGCAGGGAGCGGGAGAAAAGGCAGGTGGGAAAAGGGCAGACCGAAGGCAGGACCAGTCTTATATACAAGTAAGGCCTACATTTCATCAGAGCAAAACAATTCATTCTATTTTTATGCAAAGGTTTGAGGTTGAATGCACGTTTCAGAAGCCTAGTCTGGCATCCCAGAGAGATGCATGCAGACCAGGCAGCTGGGAAAGCTCAGAGCCCGGCAGATGCCGAGCTCTGGCCCGGGTTGTGGGGATGGCTGCCACGGGGGTGAGTCTTCCCCAGAGGTGCCCAGTATCTCTGTTTTGTTCGTTAACACCAGTGGTTGAACATAGGCATTTCGTTTCCTTGAATAAGTCTTGGAAAATGATAAATTTGCAAAATTCTATTCGAGTTCATTTAAAAAAAGTTTCTTTTTCTTTTTTTTTTGCAGAAACCTGAATAAAAGACTGTGACACAGCGATGCTGTCTCCGCTCTCAGAGTGCAAGAGAAGGTCCTCCACCCCAGCACGGCCGGCAGCCCGAGCCCCGAGCACTGCCGAGCGCGGCTCGCTCGGAGTGCCGATTCCACACGATGAACATACGGCAGCTGAGCAGTTAGGTTGGTTTGTGTCTCTCTTCAAAATTCAAATTAACAGCTGATTGGCAGGTGAAAGAGAATGAGAAAGAACTTCAAGACAGGTCAAACCCTAGGCAAAAGCCTGCTCTGTAAGAAGTTTTTAATGCTACGAATTGGTCGAACATCGTTCTGGTGTTTGCGCCGCTCAATGAAGGAAGTCAGTCTGGACGTGTCGAGGACGCCCGCGCCTTTGCCGTTGCCGTGGCCCGCCTGCAGCCACTGCTCCTGGAGGGCCAGCGCAGCCGAGGGACGCTTGGCAGGGTCCTCTTGCAGGAGGAAACACACGAAATCCTTGGCCTTCTGGCTTACTCCTTTAAAGTAGTCATCTGGGAAACTAAAGTCTAGTCGGCAAATGTTCAGGCAGGTCTCTTCTACGCTGTCGTCCAGGAAGGGGGACACGCCGCTAAGAAGTACATATGTGAGCACTCCAACACTCCACGTATCCGAGGTCAGGGAGACCGGGTTCCCGAGGATGATTTCGGGCGCTGCAAATTCGGGGTTCCCCAGTAACTGGTGGATGTAGTAGGTCGTGTTGAGTTGGACAGCATCTCCGAAGTCAGCCAGTTTAATTGTGGGCTTGGCTGAACTCTGATCCACCAGGATGTTTTCGGGCTGGAAAACAGGATAAAGCAACGGTCATTTTCATCAATGCCAGTCTTAATTTTAAGCATGATGCTCACCAGGAACCTGTGAGGTCGACTGGAACAAACTGTGCATATGCAAAACAGGGTGAAACTCTTAGGACGTGAGCCCATGGAAGGAGGAAGCAGCAGCAGCAGCGCGGAGGAGCCGCTGCCCCAGCACAGCTCAGACCAGTCTTCCCTGGAGGTCAGTGCAAAGCAGCGCGTCAAACGTGCCAGTTCATGAAGCTGGGCCGCCAGTTTCCCTCCCAACCCTGAGAGCAACACTTCCCCTTCCTTTCGCCATCCCCACAGACCCAGCCCCACACCAGCCCCACAAAACTCCCAGAACTTCCTGAAATCTCACCAAATGTGTGAAAATCTCACATTGCTGAAAGCAAACTCTTAAAAACAAGAGTTTGGAAATCAGCGTTCCCATCTCCCACCCCCTCATGTTTGTCCCCAGCCCCCCTGGGGGCACGTGGACTGGACTCAGAGGGCAAGTGGAAGGTGGACCGCTACACGCTGTGGCCAAACCGTGGTCACACACGCTGCTGTCCCCAAAGCCACGCTCACCTTTAGGTCCAGGTGTGCTATCCTGCAGTTGTGAAGGTATCGGACGGCTTCCAGAACCTCCCCCAGATACGCCCTGATCTTCCCTTCGGTGAGGTTTCCCCATCGCACCACACAGTCCAGGAGACGCCCCTGGTCAGCACTGCGGAGGTGGGAACGTACACGACCGTCATCACGGTGCTGGTTCACTTTAGAGGCCTCTCTGGCCTCGTGCAAAACAAACCCACCGTCTCTGCGCCCCATTGTGAATGCTCTATTGGTGTCTGAAGGTTCTGTTCCACCTGAAGGCAGGACTGTGTTGAGAGGGCGATTTCTTGTTAATGTCACTGTGGAGATGCATGGGGTGGGGGGGACAGGGCAGCCCGACCCGTAGAGGGAACTAGAGGCCCCCGCCCAGCCAGCTCCACTCACACCCTGGGCCTTAGTTCGGTCATCTGCGCAATGAGGGACGGGGAGGCTGTACAAGTGATGGCAGGGGAGGCAGACAATGAGGCCGTGTAGTAAAACCAGGACACCCTAGTCTCCCAAGTCGTCCTACTGTGGGCTTACTTTTAATACTTAAAAAACACATACACAAAAAAATAAAAACAAAAATAAAAATAAAAAACATATACAGCTGCCCATATGCTGGGGACTAAATACCGTCTATCAATTCATTTAATTTTCGGAGAAGAGTGTTTTATTTCCCCATTTTATAGATGCGGAAACCGAGGCCCAAGCTTCCCCCAAGGTCCCACAGCCCCTAAGTGAAGGCTGGAATTGCAATGGGGTGGCCTGGCCGTGGCCTTTCTGACCACTGGTTTATGATGCCCTCTTTGTTTGCAAAACAGTAATTTATAGGAAGACCAACCGCTTATCTGGTAATGGGGAGTGATCAAGAAGAATTTGATAGTAATTTGTTATGAAACAAACCCTATTAATACTATGATGAGGCCAAAACATTTAGTTTCCCAAATGAAAGGCTGAATGCACAGAAACTTCTAAACCAGAAACGGAGGCCCTGTAGGTTTTTGATGAGGACTGCAAACCAGCTAAATAGCCACCCCCAGGGAAGACGGGCACCTCTCAGTCATCAAGCTTCCAGAGCTCCAAAGGACCAGCCAGGTACTGAGGGCCCACAGGGGCCAGGCCCCTGCTTGGACATCATTCTAGCCCCATAACAATTGTCTGAAGTAGCTGAGGTTTTAAAGGACACCCAGGCCCCATGTCCAGGATGGGCCCTTGGCATGCACTGCTCAGCCTCGGGGAGGGCCTGCCGCCCGCCCTGCCACCACTGTGGGCAGAGGCTGCGCAGGCCCCACAGCGACGGCCTTCCAGGAGGTTTGTGCCGTGCAGACCCCGGCGGGCAGGCTCTCCTGAAACACCCCCTCCCGGGCCCGTGGTGCTGCTCAGCCCTGCGGCAGCCTCACTCTCCAGAGACTGTGGGGTGGAGGCACTTACACGTTCTTCAAAAAAAAAAGAAAAGAAAAGAAAAAAGAAACAGAAAAAGAAAATAATAGAGACAGAGAAAATAATATCCCCTCTTCAAAAAAAAAAAAAGGAGAAATAGGAATTTAAACAAAGCTAAACGCCAAGATGTCTCACAGAATGGGACTGCAATGTCTCGGGGGCGGGGCTCCCCAATGCCAGCACTGGCATCACTGGTGGCCTGGGCCACAGGGTTCTGCTGTGGGGCGTCCTGTGCCCGCAGGGTGTGGGCGATGCCCCTGGCCTCCGCCCTCTAGATGCCAGGAATGCCCCACCCTGAGCTGTGACACCAAAAAATCAAGACACTGGCAAATGTGCCCTAGGGGACAAAACTGCCCCTAGTTGAGGACCACTTCTCTTAGGTCACAGGTCTTACACACACGCTTTCTTTTAAATGATTGACTCATTTACTGAGACGGCCCGTGGGGCCCTGTGAGTACCTCGGGGACCAGCGGGCCTGCCCTGGTTGGAGGCGACCCTCCCTCACCGAGGGTGAGCTTTCTGTATGGAGCATCTTCCCTCCCTGACTTCGAATCATCCTTCAGTGCTGCGGGTGGGAGCCCTTCCGGGCAGGACCGGCCCTGGGGCTGAGCATAATGCCTGAAGCAGCAGGCAGAGGTCTTAGTGAGCCCACCTCTTCAGAGGCCGGGCATTCTCGGGACCTTCGCGGACGAGGTAGCATGGTCTCGGGTTGGCCCAAATGGGGATGCTAGGCTTGCTGCTCCCTTGCAGGACAGCACATACTGAAAGACTGTACCTCTTTCTACATTGACTGGGAAGTTGTAAGACTGTGTTCTGATGGCAGACATGCTTTTGAGAAGTTCTGTGAATCCTACAATCCCGATTTCCACCTGAAACTACAGTAAGACGCCTGACGCCGAGGCTGACGGTTACTAAGAGAGGAGGAAAGTCCAGGGGCACGCACATTTCCAAAACCAGGACGTAGCTGTTGGGGGTCTCAAAGGTGTCAAGGAGGCCAACCAGGAGTGGGTGCTGGACGTTCTGCAGGACTCCAAGCTCGTGGGTGACCTGGTCACGCTTCATCAACTTCTTGTTCACGAACTTAGTGGCCACGGCTCGTTTGGTTCCCTTCTGATCACATTTCTTAACGACAGAGAACCTGCCCCTGGAACACAGGTTGAGGGGAATTTTCAGGACTCTGAGTGTGTCATGCAGAAAAGGCTCGGTGAACCGACACAGCTCGGATGCCTCCCGAGCCTGCTGACCGAGCCTGTCCCCAGGCCCCAAGGAAGCCTGCCTGGGTCTGAGTCCCTCAGCCTGTGACAGCCCCTCCTCCTCCTCCAGGCAGACTTCTCCTCGCCCTGGGTGTGGACAGGCCACATGACTCCCGCTGACTTCTGAACGTGGCAGAAGCGACATTGTGTGACTTACTGGGAAGATTCCACCTTTGTTCTCCTAGAGAACTCGCCTCATCATGTGAAGCAGCTCAGGAGGGACTACTCGGTGCCTCCTGGTCACCCCCCACGTTTGAACAGGAGTATCCACTTCCACCCTGCCTTTGTAGGATGCATGTGTGGGCAGGTCACTCATCTCTAGTTCACCATCTCCGGGGCTCCCCCCAGGAACCATGCCAGAGAAGCCTCGGCTGCACCTTGACACGACCTAGACAACAGGATCTCGAGTCTGAGCCTGCTGCCATATGGGATGAGATCTGCGGGGGAGGTGAGGTGGGGTGGGAAGTGTGAGGAACAGAAATTAACCTGTGGTTGGGGCAGACTGTGGTGGGTTAAGACGGCCACACTCCTTTGCTAGTCCTCCTGCAGGGGTGGGGGGTGGGGTGGGGAGGGTGGTCCTCTCTCTCTCTCTCTCTCTCTCTCTCTCTCTCTCTCTCCTCCTTGCAATCTGGACTGGCTGGGGGCTGGTTCTGACCCACAGGATTTGAAGGAGCACGGTTGCCGATTTCTTAGGCTTGGCCTTAAAGAGGCCTTACAGCATCTGCTTCTGCTCCCTTGGAATGCTTCTGCCATAAAGTGTGGGAGCCCCTGGGCCCACGTCCCAGGCGAGGCCACAAACGTGTGGGTGAGGCCAAGGAAGACCAACAGAACAGCTGCCAATCGAGAACGTGATGCGGGATGTGATGAACCCGAGCTGCCCTGTGACAGCTGCCCCATGCAGCATGGTCCCTAACAGCCACGCCCTAGTACGGCCACCAGAGTATAAGAGGCTACTGCAGGGGGAAAGCATTTTTTAGAAGAGACGAGCCCAGCTGTCACGCTTCTGACCTCCTTCTTGTCACAGAGCACATGATGTGAGATGTGGGTGGGTGCTGTGTGGCAGGACAGTCAGAAGGGGCCTGGGTGCCTGAGGGCACTGCCTGGCCCTGGCTGCCCCTCTCGGTCAAATCTTCCTCTTATCCTGGGCTCGGGTCCCCTGCTACTCGGCCTATAGCTCCATGTGCACCTGAACTGGAGGGACACATTCAGTCATCCTCAGCCTGGACTCCAGAAGAGAATGAAGTCCTACAGGAAAAGGGCAGGTGACTCCTCCCTGAGTTCCCCAAGGGTGGGGCACAGCTGGCACTGCCCTGGGTGCAGAGTGGGAGTCATTCCATTACATCAATGGTAGCTTAAGGCACTGGGTCTTAAATCTCTCTTGGAACCTGAGCTGAAAATGTCTCTATTACTTTCTTGCCATTTAATATTGAATGGCGATTACAAGTTATGCTGCAAATGTAATATCTGTAACTTCTACTTGTTGGCAAACACAGCGTTTACCTTTATTGTCTACCTTTACAGTTTGTTATGTCTCACACACTCCTCTCTCAAAAGAGGCCCTGGATCATACCTGCCAAGCTCAGCCACTTCGCTGTAGAAGGAGTCAAAGTTGTCTTTCCAGGTCACCATGATCCCATCGCTCCCTGGACCTGCAAGAAGAGCAGCGCCTGCCCTGAGCTGGGTTTCCGTGGCATGTCTCAGGGAAGGGGTCCGCAGACCTTCGCTGTCCTACATGGCAGGCACATGTGGCCACTGAACATCTGTGGCTCATCACAAGGAAGATGCGCAGCACGTGGCACATGCACACGGCACGCTGGGTCTCAGTGTGAAAGAAGAGGGACTTATGTGATAGAAACAAACAAATATTTCCTCTTCCATGATTTTCCCACTCACTTCCCCATGTGTCAATATATCCCCCTTAGCTTGCACTCATGATTTATTTTTAAATGAGTCACCTGTAGAATTTCTGTGACATCTTTTAAAAATTAGAACATTGGTGATTCTTTACTATCAAATTAAAGACTTTCTTGTGCCATAATCCCAAAGTCAGAATACTTCCTTTCTTTGATTTAATCAGGTTAAAATATTTAGGATTAAGATAATGTGAAATAAGAGTTCTAAGACAATTCTGTTTACTGTCTACACACTGGGCGCTCCGGACTCAATCCACCTTTCAGTTAGGATTTTTATTTTCACTCTTAGAAGTGGCTTCCGATACCTGGCGTAGCTACAGGATCATCACAGCAGCCCCCTACTGCACAGCTACCTAATGAAACGGTAGTTGGAGGTCAATCAATACGTGTTGCTACTGAGCATCTCCACATGTTGAGTTAAACTACGGGGAAATTTAAAAGGCTTTTGACATGGGTTCTGCCTTCAGTAGCTCACAGTTTAGTGGAGGAGAGAGAACGAGGCCTTACCAGGCAATGGAAAGAACAAGGGCTTCAGACCAGAGACTTGGGTCCCAAGCTGAAGTCGCCGTGAGCTCATGGAAGGGACAGGAGGACATACCCACCAGAAGGGTCTTTGTTAGGGTCTGAGACAGGCACGAGCCTGTACAAGCCTCAACCACACTCCCTCTTTTCCTTCCTTCCTTTTCACTCGTATTCCATGAGACCCACTTAGATTAGATTCTCTTAGAACTTAAGTGTCAACTGAATAACTACATCAAAGAGAAACTGGACACAGGAATGCGCTTTGGTAACTCAGAGCACAGAACACACCTTGCTGTAACCCAGCGGCTCTAGTGCCCAGTGGCTGTGGCCAGAAGGACCCAGAGGTCAACCACCGCGGGATGTCCCAGAGACTGTGGCCTGCTGCTCGCAGCTCTTGCTTGGAAGGCCCACAGTGACTGCCATATTTTTCTGGCCATGTTGTGGGTGGGGGGACTCTGGACTTGAGATTCCAGCTCAGGAGTGCCACTCACCTAGAACCCTCAGACTGGCTGAACACGAGGCTGAACCCATGTCGTTCACAGCGATGCACGTGTAGATGCCGTCATCTTCTGTGGTCACGCCGACGATCTTCAAAGTGGCCTCTCCTAAGTCACTGCCGCACAGACGAGAACACACGTGTCAGAAAGGCCGCCCCAACCTCTCTCCTTCAGGGTCACAGAAAAGTAGGGGCTCAAGGACTGATGAGGAATTTCAAGCGGAGTTTTGATTTTAGTTGCACACCTGGGTAACAAAATGTTCCCTCATGGGAAGTGTCCCAGCGTGAAAGAGGGCCATGGGGCTCGATGATGCCAGTCACAGTGAAACCAGACTGCGAAACCAACCCACGAGCCAGCCTCCCTCACCTGTACGAGATGCTGTAGTGGCCATCGTTGTTCAAGGTGTTATGTTCAGGGCCCTTCCAGGTGATCGAGGCCTTTGGGCGTCCACAAACCCGACATCTAAGAACAACGGTCTCCCCTGTCTCACACGTGACCTCACTCAAGGGAATGGCGAATTCTGGGGGAACTGCACAAGAACGGAGTCAGTACTGCTGGACCTGGGCTCCCTGTCACACCCGTCGATGCTTCCTGAACAAACAAGTGGGGCCTCAGTTTCTGACTGAGCCCCAAGTCATGGGTTACACTCGACTGTTCTGAGACATGCCCCCTGGACCTACAGCCTGCAAGACCAGAAGAAAAAGAAGCCGCACTCACCGTCATAAATGTAGTTGGGATTGAGAAGCTGAAAGGGGAAAAGCACACAGGTATTAACCAAAAACACGGCCTATTTTGAGATATATTACTTTCATTCCAAGGTTACAATGACCATTGAAAGATGAGCAGAAATACGACTTGCTTTGTCTGGATTTCATTCTCCTTTAAACACATTTCAAGCTTCTTGCCATAAGAATTTAGGTGCATTTAAAACATAAAAGTGGTGCTGAAATTCAGAGATGCCCATTTTTCTCCTACGAATCGAGTCCAGGCGTCCCTGGACCCCTTCCTTCTGCAGGACAGCCAGTGTCCTGCCCCAGGGTCCCCGGATTCCCATCAGGGAATATTCTCTTTTCTAGGCAAAACCCCACAGGTTTAAGGCAGCCTGATTATAAAGAGCAAAGGTATCGGAGCCAGGGACTGTGTGCCAAGGAACCTGGATGTCGGCATCTAGTCACTGCCCTGCGATCTGAGGAGGGCACGGAAGGAAGGCCGAACTCTGCACTCTCTGCTCCCCAGAATCCAGTCTTGGCTTCTTCTGGGAACCTAACAGCTTTTTTGTAAAGCCAGGCATGTACCTGGTGAGGTGTCTGCGTGTATACCTGGTTCCTTAGAATATACACATGCACCTGTGCCAGCCAGCACGGTCTCTGAGAGCCCTCTGCAAAGCCTGGCAAGATCTGCTGGTGGGGCAGAGCGGGGTGGCACGGTGCGCGGCACACCACTACTGAGCAAGACGGGGCCCCGGCCTGGAGTGCGCCACCCTCCGCGCTGCCCGTGGGTCAGCGCCACCCCCTCCGGCCACCCAGCGATAACATGAGTCCTGACACTGCTTCCTGGAGACACTTGCACCCACCTTCACAGATACCTTGTTGCTGAGGCCTTCCCGCGATTTCCGATAACCATTCTCTAACTTGCCTTCCCGTTTGCCGTCTTTATCTTTTTTCTCAGATTTTTTCCTTAAACGGAGTGCTGTGTGCCAAGATGTTGACTTCCTGGGGGGAAATTAATGCATTGTTAATATCCTGCAATTCCAGTGTTCAGAAAATGATTCCGGAAAGCGTTGGAGGAAAGTAGACTATTCAACTCATGGAGATTATAGGGTAGTAGAGAAAATTTCCTAATGGTGATCTCTGCTGAGAACACTTTTCCGTGATTCTCAATAACCAGCAGCTATAATCTACACTTTCTTAAATCAAATTTTAGGGTTAAAATACAAAGGTGCCACCCTGGCTGGTGTGGCTCAATGGATTGAGCACCGTCCTGCAAACCAGAAGGTCACAGTTCCTGGACAGGGCACATGCCTGGGTTGCAGGCCAAGTCCCTGGTTGGGGGTGTGCAAGAAACAAGTGATCAATGTCTCTTGCACATCGATGTTTCTCTCCTTCCATTCCCCTTTCTAAAAATAAATAAAATATTAAAAGAATATATACAAGGGTGCCTGTGATTGTTAACTTTATGTATCAACTTGACTGGACCATTGGATGATCAGCAATTTGGCCAAACATTGTTCTGGGTGTTTCTGGAGGAAAATAAAATTTCATTGTATTTTTTAAAAGATTTTACTTATTTATTTTTAGAGAGGGGGGAAGAGAGGGAGAGAAACACCAATTGGTTACTTCTTACATGCTCCCAACTGGGGACCTGGCCTGCAACCCAGGCATGTGTCCTGACCAGGAGTTGAGCTGGCAATCCTTTGGGTCACAGGCTGGTGCTCAATCCACTGAGCCACACCAGCCAGGGCTGGGGGAGATTACCATTAGGAGTGGTAAAGCCAACTACTCTTCATGCAGTGGTGGGCCTTATCCAATCAGTTGAAGGCCTGGTCAGAACAAAAACACAGGCCTCGTTGGACAAGGGGAAACATTTTCTAGCAGAATGCATTCAAGTTTCATCTGCTCCATGGACTCCCCTGGGTCTCTAGCCTGCTGGCCTGCACCACAGATTTGGAGTGGCCAGCCTCTATAATTGCATGAGCCAATTCCTTATAATGAAACTTTGTCTCCTTCTCTATCTACACACACATACACACGATTCTATTTCTCTGGGGAACCCTGATGCACAGCCCAAGAATATTTTTGGGGAAAACAAAGCCTAAAATTGGAATTCTTGAACAATGTACTAGAATAAAATATTTCAGTGTATTAAGGAGAAACAGGACAAGAAATTGTCACAGGAAGTTCTCTCTGCAACCTGAACTCAAGCCTGGCCTCCCCTGGGGGCTGGGGGTGAGGGGCCAGAGCTGAGCCCAGAGACACAGCCCAGGCTGCAAACCCAGCCAAGGGCACAGCTAAGCTTGGAGGGGACCACAACCCCACTGGTGCCTTTGGTTCTGGGAAACCCTTGGAAACTTCTGAAGTCACAAAGTCCTGCACTGCTTCCCAGAAGCCATGTGGCTGGCCTTGACCACGGCCAGGGAGATTCAGCAAAGGGAACTTTCTGAATCCAGCACCTGACTTTGGTGTTCTTTAAAATAACGTTTAATGCAACAAAATTGTTTTCAAGTCTTAACTAAACTAACCTTCCAGTAAATACAAGGTAAGTTACCTTCTATCTTTATTTGCAGCTCACAGAATGAGTTTCTTCACAGATGTATGCCATTAACAAGTTAGGGGTCCTTGGAAAGTTCCCAATGCTCCCACCCCCTAGACATCCAGGAACTAAAATACCACCAAGGTCTTTCTAGTGGCTTGGAAAAGCTGTGTGTTTGCAAGTGCAGGTGATTAAAAGAGCAAGTCTGTAAAACAAGTCTGAGTGATGGAAAGCGGTTCCACACTGTGCTTGAGGAGGAACTTGAACAGAGAAGAGCGCTGCTTTCTCGCACTGACTTTTGGCCTCCCGGGGCCCCCTCCCCATGTTTGGCCTGCCGGGCACTCACTTGAGGGTCCCATCGGGGTTCTCCATGATGACTGTGCTGGTATGCCCCAGGACGAAGCCCGGAATCCAGCCCTCGGCTGCGGGGCACTGGTCAGTGGCGGCTCGGAACACCAGAAACATGTTCTGCTGATTGCTGGCCAGAATTTGAACGACCTCTCCTTGATAGACGTTGATCTCATCCTCCTTCACTGCCGTGTAATCGTGTGTCACCAACATGGTGGAGATGTTGCTACTGCTGCTACTTTCACTCTGTAGAGGGAGAGATGGAAAGAAAAGAGGCAGAGGGACCTGAAACGAGGCCGATGACATGAACCCGCTCGTCAGTGTGCCTCACGGCACGGCGACTCGGGGCATGGCTCCCCGGACAGACGTGGAGGGCGCCACGCTTTCTTTGCTACTCTGTGCTTTTTCAATAGTTGGAAACCAGAGTGTAAGCAATTAGGAACAATCTAAAGAAAAAATCAGTGCAATGATGACACTTTACATTTGAAAGCTTTTATTTCAGTCTGTTATTTTAGCCTCATCTCTTTACACCTTTGAAGAACGGCTCAAGTCTTGTGTTCATATCCTGCTGGGTTATACCTACATCACAGTAAAGCCACTGTGACTATCAGGCTTACTGAAATAGTTACTGAATTAAAGAACTGCAAACAGTCGCCCTTCAGCTCACTTTGACAATTAGATCATGGAGGAGCCTCCAAATCCACCAGGTAAAATGTCCATTGAGAACACATATGCCAGGATTCTGCCAAGTTGCTGGTATAATCATTTCCACCTCCTTTTCCCTTCTAAAAGAAGAATTCATAATACCTAAAAAGTAATTCAACTGCTATTCTGCTCTTAGGGATAGATGCTCTGCCTCCTTCATGTCCCCTTCGGTGGATGGCCCTCTTATGATCTTGCATGATGCCAGTGTCCTGAAGGCACTGTGGCCCTCTGAACACATCATCACAGAAGACCTGTGGACACCAGTGGCCCTAAGACTGAAGCATCAGGAACAGACTCTTGCAAGTGAAAGCCTAGCCACACTGATCCTGCAGCCAGTGGTACCCAATCTCTCTGGGACACTACAGTGTCTTCAGTGCCCAGCACAGTGACTGACATGTAGCGGGCACTCAATACATGTTCAGTAACACAGTCAACGAGGCAAAAGTGCAAAAATAAAACAAAGATCATTTCTGAGGCCACCTACCCGGGGCCACAAGCTGAGTGGAACTGGCTGGAGAGTAGAAGAAACACAAACGGCAGTATTTGTCTCAAGCTGTCATTTACCGAGTGATCTATTTGTTCCAGAGGAGGAGAAGGAAGCTGAGGCCACCGACCAATCCTAAGCTATATCTTGCTTGATCGCCCCCTATCAAGAGTCGGGACATAGGCCCTGGCTGGTGTGGCTCAGCGGACTGAGCCCTGGCCTGCGAACCAAAGGGTCACTGGTTCGATCACCAGTCGGGGCACATGCCTGGGTTGCGGGCCAGGTCCCCAGTAGGGGGTGCATGAGAGGCAACCACAGACTGATGTTTCTCTCTCTCCCTTCCTTTTTTTTTCTTAAAAACACACAAACAAAAAAAGTAAAACACCAAACAAAACATATGTTAAAAAAAAAAGTCACTTAAAAAAAAAGTTGGGACGTAGGGAATGGCACCGGGTGCCCTGCTTCCGATTGTTCTCAGAGGCTTCCACCAAGGATGCTCTCTGGTTGCTCCTGGATCTCCAGGCCTCTGATGATGCTGGCCTCTGCTGGGCTCTCAGACAGCTGGGACAGGTGTTGATGTGACTGTCAGACAACCCTGCCACATGTCTGTCTGCCCTGGGCTACTGGGCTGGTGTCAGGACGCACTGGGCAGACGGCTGACCACTGTCAACAAGCCAGCGTGCAAGGAATTGGTAGGCCAGGCTCTGAACTGAGACCTGCAGTGATGTTTAAATTAAACATATCATTCCTGTCTCACTAAGGACGCTTGTGCATTCCTGCCCCTTGTGGAAGCCCACACTGTCCTTGCAGGGCTCTGGCCTCTGCACACTCACTTATATTTTTTTTCCTTTCAGTGTGTATCTTAGTGTTCTGGCTTATACAGCAACACCCAATAGTTCTGAGATTACAAAGCCAAATTATCTAGAAAACATGAACAAAAAGTAACTTCTGTGGCACAGCTGCTTTTGGTAACATAGCATACCAGGCTTTGTCTGACAATTTGAGTATTTTTCCACAATCATAACAACTATTTTATGAATACTTCCTAGGTACTAGGCTAAATATAAAGACATCTAAAATCTATGCCATTGAGTGCTCACCACCACCTATCCAGCAGGCAGGATCCTCACCCCACAGGGTGGGACGTTAGGAATCTGCACAGACCACCTGGCCTCTGAAAGGCAGGGCTGTGCTTTTAAGGCTGCCCTGGAGGGCGTGGGCAGCAGGCTATGCATCCACATTTGGCGGCTGGCGCAGTCACTGTTTGGGTTGATCCACCTTCACTCCACTCTCGCTCTCTGTAATTTTTCAGAAGGTGCCCATACAAAGAGGGAAGAAGAACCTGGGACATGGGTTAGGCACAGCTGCCTGCCTGTGACCGCAGACAGCTCCATGGAAGTGGTCAGGAGGAAGGAGGCCGCTGCCGACAGGCCAGGGGATAAGGTGGCTCAAGTGCGTGGGAACAGGGCAGGGTGACAGTTCCTTTTAACTGAAATACTTAAGAGAGTAGAGAGGCCCAATCCCCATCTGAGGCCTTGAGTGGTCTTCCTGGGCCTCGAGGGCATTTCTGTAAGTCATTTTCACACATCAAAAACTCCGGCAACAACCTTGTCACCTGCCACATAAGAAACAGAAATAAGAGGTATATTTTTGCAACCTAAAATTGCCAGATTATGTGCCACACGTGACTGTGCCTTTGTCTCAGTGGACATTCCAGGAGGGAGCCAGGCGGTGGCCATTATGCCGTGTGTGCTCATGGGCACCCAGAGGCCAGCCCGGGCTCCTGCGCGGGAGCAGCGGGGCGTTCGTTCTGAAACACCGACTCTGTGCACTCTTCGGGTGCTTAGGACAAGTGTCCAGGTGAGGGTGTGCTCACACACTGCTCCCCGGCTGATTTTGTAGGGGTCATGGCTGGGAGACAGGCCTGGCCGCTGGGCCTTCTGCATCTTTTCCTCTGGCTGGAATCGAGTTCTGATGCTCACTGCGCACCAGCACTGCAGGCCTCACAAGGGGGCCAAGCTTCTCTGCAGGACGCGGCAAGGCACCCAGCCCACGGACACTGGTGACGGCCATTGCAGAGGGTGCCTGCTTAACCACTTGCTTTTAAGAATAAGACTCATGGTAAATAAATGTACCAAGTCCCATCTCCTAATTTCTTCCTCAGTTAAATACAGAGTTTAACAACATACATAACAAAAAATAGTAGGAAAGGATTAAGGCCATGTCAACTCGAACTAGGAATTAATAGAAATCCAGAGAAGAGAGACATGCAAAAGCCAATTTTTTTTTAAACAAAGAGAGACACAGACCCTTTTAGGGAAATGTATTTAAAATTTTATAAAGTGATCAAACATACACTCATTAGAACAGTTGTATTCCCTCACGTATGCCTTCAGGAAGGTGTTACTGGTCAGGCCATCTACTGTAGAGGAAAACAGTTGGTAGGAGAGTGAGGAGGCCACAAAATGGGGGAAAAGCCCACCACGGCAACCCTTCTGCTTGAGATCACAACATAGGTGACCGGCAAAATGAGGGTGAGGATGCGTGGAGCGCCGCAGTCCGCACCGCGCCCCCTGCTGGACAGAATGCAGACACGCGCCCACTCCAGCCTCCTGGGCCTCTGCTCCCGGCCGCCGCAGGCGCCCCATCTCCAGAGGCCCTAAAGCAGTCTCTCTCTTCCCGAGTGAAACTGTGGGGGAAGCACATATTTCCACTGGAGAGATTCCTGCCCCCCCCACATTGTCAGCTTAGTTTGCTTTGAGTAGCTGTTGGAAGTTTTCTTGAGGGATTTTTTTTTTCAGCAGATGAGTCAAAAACGCTGCAAGGATAACTTAAGGCATAAAAGAGCATGACCAAGCGACGAGCAAAAAGCTTATCAAGTGTAGGTTTTGAACTAAATCGGGGGGAGGCAGCAGAGACACTGACCCCTCTAAAAAAATGTGAGTGAGGAAGGCAGGGACAAAGAAAGTTCCAAGAGAGTCTGCTGGTTGGAAGATGGAAAAGACTTACAGATGTTGCATTCAGAAGGTTAATGATTGGCTTTCCCATATTAGGAGACACAAATAAAGCAAGGAGCGAGTTAGTAGAGATGAGAGCAGCGCTGTCCCCGGAGCAGGAGGGTTAGGAGGCACTCCTGTGTCAGCTCGGGCCGTGGCCTGTCCAGGCCTGCAGACAGCGGGCGCACACACAGAGCTACACGTGGGTCTACGTGGTCAGTGCACGGAGAGGCCCGGAGGAGTTGATTACTGCAGCGCGGCCCGGAGAGCCAGGAGTTAGTACGAGGAGAGCGGCAGCGGCGAGAGGTTTAGAGGAGCTGGCGGGACAGAGGCAGTGGGGCGGACGGGCGGAGGCTGCCACGCGTTCTTACCCCATTGCTCTGGGCAGACTGCACGGACTGCTCGCTGGCCGAGGAGCACGTGCTCATGCGGTCCGTGTCCTTGCTGGGGGCCGCGTGGCGGTGCGCCTGCCGCTGCAGGGAGTCACTGTCTCCCGGGAAGGTGAAGGAGCCCGGCCGGCTGGCGGGGGAGGCGGGGATGGAGCTCCAGAAGGAGCCCCCCTTCTGCAGGGGGCTGCTGGGGGCAAAGGGCTCCTTGCCCAACGGAGACGGGAATGTGGTGGAGAGAGGAGAGTTCAGTGGCGAGATGGCCCCGGGCCTGGGCTTTCCCAGGGGCAGGGAGCCCAGGCCACTCCGTGCGCGGCTGTCCTCCTTGGCATTTCCATCCTGGCTGGCACCTGCAGTGTTCCCGGTGGACTTCCTGGGGCTCTCAATCACCTTCATCTTGGGGATCTGCTCCGCTTCTCTCTCAGGACCCTCAGACTGGCCGCCCGCGGGGTGCCTGCCAGGTTGGCCAGGGCCAGCCTCCAGGGTGAGGCTGCTGGTGGGAGGAAGCAGTGCAGGGCCGGGAGTGGACATACCTGACATCTTGTCTGCCTCTGCCTGGCTGGAGGCTGCAGAGGAGACCAGCACGGGGGAGTGGTGTCGGACAGGCTGGGGGATCCGGGAGGGCCTGCTTCTGCTGGAGCTGGGGAGGCCACTGCAGCTGCTGGGGCCGCTGCTGTGGTTGCCGCCGCCGCCGCTGCCGCCACCGGGGGTCCCGCCTCCACTGCCCCCGCCCCCGCTGCCCCCGCTGTGGTTCCTCTGATACTCGATGGGTGATGTCAAGGCTGCAAAACATGCAAGACACAGTAGGAGAGAATCAGGGCACTGAGAAAGATATTGTTGCGGGGCAAAACAAAAGGAACGTGGTGTAATCCAAAGTGCTGGACGTGAATGCCCCCAGTCGCCTTAGGGAACCCCACACAGTCGCCTTCAAACCTATGAAGAGCCACCCATCCTGGACGCAGCAGGCTGACACCACCCGGCAGTAAAGGAAAGGGTCTTCAATGCCACCATCTGCTCTATGGACGGGTTAAATGGACTCAATGGAGGGAAATGGGCATGTGTGAGTGGGTGGGGGGCAGAAGAAGGCCAAGGGGGCAGAAGGACAGAGTGAATGAGGACAAGGGGGAGGGAGACGTCCACTGCCTTGGAGCAGCAAGCAGAACCTCAGCATCCCCGCCAAGTGGAAAGGAGACGAATTGGCTGGAGGTCCTGGGCAAACTGCCAATGTCAACGGGAGGCCCCGAGCTGCCAGAGGAGTATCAACTGGGACTCCACAGGCACCCACTGGCTCCCGTGGGGAAAAGTTTAGTCCAGCTGCTGCACAGAAAAGCTGGCCAGGAGCTGAGGAATCCCTCGGCCACCAGGGAGGAGGCGGGAGTACGGACCACCTCCGTTCTGCAGACTGGACACAAGAGACAAGGGGTGGAAAAGAGCTCCCCAAACTCCCTTCTGGGTCATGAAGCTGTCTCAGCTATAGTGATTTAATTCGTTACACAACCATCTGCAGGAAACCTTAGGAAGCACGCCAAGTAAGATATATGGCAACACTAACACAAATACTTAAAAGTGTAAAAGCCTTTGAGAAGTACAACAATCAGACATAGCCCCTTTTTTTCCTGGGAGCCATCAGGCATGTGTGAAAAAGCACCCTGGAGCCAAATGACATTTCACAAACTCTGTGTCGGCCATGGCCGCTCACAGGAGTTAACAGGGGGAGAGGCGCAGCGACCCGTCCGGAGCTCCATTCCCCGTCTTGTCCAATCCTCCGACACCGCTATTATCCTGCCTAGACTGAGGGTCCAGTGAACTAGAACAGCCTGGCTGACTCATGATGGCAATTTGCAGGCAGTTCATTTTTTTACTTTAAAGAAGGTAAAAGTTGAGAGATTTCCCAATAGTTACATGCTCTAGGTTGGCATTTAATACAACACGTAAGAACAACACGTTAAAAGAGATCTCACCGCATCTGTTCACTGTCACAGAGGGAAGCCTTTTTCTACATGCACAGGAAACATTAGCCCTTGACCCCACGCATCTAATTCTAACAGCAAACATAAAATATGATCAGTTTACGATTTGGACAGGAGCTTGGAGTCAATGTCTAGGCAGCTCACTACCATGCGGCCCAAAAGGCCATGTGCCCTTATTTCTCTCTGAGTGTCTTGGGTTCCTGGCTCTTGAATGTCATGCAAGGTGGAAAGGTGACTTTGTGAGGACAGAGAAAGTACAACAACCTGTTCGACTGAGGCACAGGCACTGACCATGAACATGGTGAAGAGGACAAAGACATTAAGCAAGTATTTTAACTTCTGACCGAATTCTTAAAGTTTTTCAATGATCAATGAATTAAAAGCAGAGTCAAAGACAGCAGTGACAGAGAGAAGGATGCAGTTTCAGGTCACAAATATAAAGGCATAATAATTATCTGCAATGGAAGGCCAGTTGCTCCCCTAGAATCACTCATGTCATGGAAGCTGGGAAGGCAAAACTTGTTTTTTAAAGGAGCAGAGAGGTGCAGATGTGCAATGCGATCGAACACAGATTTCGCAGTTGCACTCGAGAATGTCCCAGTCCCACCTGCTGCCTCTGGTTTCCTCATGCGTTGCTGTTCCAGGACAGGGCTCTGGTGCACATGTTGTGCGAGAGGCCACGTGGGACAGGACGAAACAGGACAGCAGTGCGGGGCACATGTCTGAGAGCCAGACAGTCTGCTCGGAGTCCTGATTGTGCCACCGACAATTTGTGGGACTTCGGGCAAATTACTAATCCACTTACTCCATGCCTCAGCTTCCTCATCTGTAAAATGGGAGTAATAGTTCCTGTCACACAGAGTTGCTGTGCAGAGGGAATGAAGCAGAATATGGCCAGTGCCTGACACACAGTAAGGGCTAAGTCAGTCCTGTCATCATTATTTGCATGTGGAAAGAGACAGCAGAATAGAAATGTGTAAGTTAGGGAAAGAAAACACATGCCTAGTAAGAGAGCACAAATTACCATTTAAAAAATTGCGCTGGTTTTCTAAGATTTGGTTGATTTCATGGATCCACGTTTGCCGGACACTTGGACTGGACGAATGCAAAACGAAGGTCTCCACCACGTCACCTGTCCTCGATGTCAGGGCAAATTTACAGGGATCATTTTCCACATTTTCTTCTAGGCAAAGGCAACTCACCTGAAAAATATTAAAGCCTTATTCCCAATGGCCAAAAGGTGGCGGATGAATGCTGATGAACAAAATGTGGTCTATTCATACAATGGAACTTATTCAGTCTTAAGGAGGAAGGACAGCCCTGGCTGGCTAGCTCCACTGGTTAGTGTTGTCCCAATAGACCAAGGTTGTGGGTTTGACCCCCAGCCAGGGCACACATAAGAAACAACAAACAATAAATGCATAAATAAACAAAACAACGAAGCAATGCTCCTCTCTTTGTCCCCCTTCCACTCTCTCTTTCTCTAAAATCAATAAACAAAAATTTTTAAAAAAAATTATTAAAAAGGGCACTTTGACACATTCTACCACATGGATGAACCTCGAGGACATTATGCAAAGTGAAAAAAGCCAGTCACAAAAAGACAAACAAACGCTGTTATGATTCCACTCCAACCCGGTCCCTAGCGTAGTCAAAGTCATAGAGACAGAAAGAATGGTAGTTGCCCAGGGCTGGGGGAAGGTGGAAGTGGGATTTAGTGCTTAAACAGCACGGAGTTTCAGTTTGCAAGACGAGGAGTCCTGCAGAGGGATGGTGGTGACAGCCACACAACAGTGTGAATGTACTTAATGTCACTGAGCTACGTATTTTTAAATGAGTAAGATGGTACATTTTATGGGATGTGTACTTTGCAATTAAAAAAAAAAAAAAAGCACATGTGTTCCTACTGGGCAGGTGCAAAGTACAGTTTATCCTATGTCAGAACTGAAACAGCCACACTTCGGTACATGGCAAATACAGACAGTTGATGGGCGAAGTGAATTTAAAGGTTCTGAAACGTCAAATATTTAATAAAGCATCAGGACGTGTCGTCATTAGAAAGAAGACTGTCCGTCAGTGTGATGGGCACACGCATTAGCACATGAGAAAACACGCAAACACGCATCACCTTGATACTGTTCTTGAACAGGAATCCTGGCATGGAGAAGCCCTTTTTTTTATCCAGGGGCTCGCTGAAAATGACGATCTGCTCGAAGAGGAAGACCCGCCTCTCTCTGCAGCGAGGCAGGAGCCCTGCGTCTTGGTCTGTGACCAAGAATGTATCCTGTAAGAGCAGCTTGCCCTGGGCAACAATTTTACCCTAAAACAAGGAAGTGGGGGCAAAGGAAGATGAGAAGAAAACATTGTGTTCTAAGTTAAAATACAGGAAGTTCTGTTTTCTTTAGATTTTCTCCCACAAAATACTTATTTCTTCTATTAATTTATAGACCTTAAAATTTTCTTATCATGAGTTCTTAGCCCCAAAGAGAACTGTTATCTAAATAAAATTCTTTCTAATTTCTATAAAAACCACTGGCCTCCGTGACAATCACAGACTGAAAGTGGATCTCAAGTGTCCAGGTCACCGGGGAACAGTGGTTCTGAAGGCGTAGCCTCTACGCCTGTGGCACCCACAGTGGCAGTGGCACCAGCCGGCAGGACGCAGGGACAAGAACCTGTGTTTTCAGAAGCCCCCTGGGAGGCTCTGTGTGTGCCTTCTTGAGAACTACAGCAAAAGAACTTTGAACCTAAATCTCTAACAAAACAGTAGATAAGAAAAGTAAAAACTTCTTCCCTATCTTTACTCAACAGTCAAATTTTAAAGTTCCTGGTTCTGAAAAATCCTGAGGGTACCCACAGGTAACATGTGGTATGAGTCGTCTGGCAACTCCCAGGAAAGTTGGCTAGACTAATGATGAACACAGGGACCCTGAGGTCAAGCTCCCGGGGTGACGGACGCTCAGAGCCCCCTGCTTCCCACCATCTGCCAGGAAGGAAATTTGGCTCTGTCGGCAGCGGAGAACCCAGGGGACTGAGCGGAGTCCTGTTTCCACCCCAAGGCACTGGGTTTTGAGCAGAGAAAGGTCCCCCAAAGCAAGTCAAATGCACCAAAAAGGAGTTGAAAAGAAGTATCAATTGGTTTGAAGTAAAGAGAGAGAAGACAGAAAATCAAGCCCATAGGATCAGTTTTCTACACATGCAGCTAAATAGTCCGGCAGAGGGGACAGTGGTGGAAGCCACAGGGGCAGGTCAAAGAAGAGCGCATTACGTCGAATCCTTGCAGCCGCCCAACGTTCATCATGTCGTTGCACCGCTTTGGCACTATGCACATGACTTCCACAGCTCTCTGGGGGTGGGGACAAAGCAGTCAGCGGTCAGTCCGCGGCTCCTTCTCCGAGCTCAGCTCCTGCCCCTCCCGCCCTCCGGGGTGCAGGGCACATCCAGCTGGTGGGGAGACCCCCATCGCCCCCTGCAACAACCCCTCCCAGGGACAGACCCCTGCAGGGACAGCAGGCTGCTCTGGAGGCCTGTGGGGACAGCCTGGGGGCGACGGGGCGGGCCAAGGGCGTGTAAGTACCTCTAGCTCTGATGTATCCAAGCTAGCTTTTTTGGAATACTTGAGGAAGTCCTGCAAGGGAAATGGAGAGGACATGGGCAGGTGACGTCACGGCAGCAGCGAACCTTTGACAAGCCAGCCACTGGCTTGAGCGCTTTAGTTCTGTTTTTTCATTTTTTCCCCTCCCAGTAACACAAGAAAAAGGTGGCTTTCAAGCTGCAGCAGAGCAAAGTCAGACCAAAATTATCTGAGCAGGGAACAGTTCCTGTGTCCGCCCAAGAAAAGCTCTTGGTCTCTCTTCATATGCAGTTTATATACGAGAGAAACCTCAATGTACTTCAATGGTCACGCTTACCAAGGAAAATTGTAACTATGCCTTTCGTTGTGCACTGAGTCTACAGAGACAAACAGCAATTAAAAATTTAATTTTATTTAAGGCTTCAAGAAGGTTAGAAAATATGTAAGGTCAACAGAGCTGAAGAAAAATCCTTAGTATTTAAGGCCTGTGGTGGGGGGGGGGCGGCGGGGAGTTCACTTTAACTGACATTTTGATTCAGACCTCGATGTAAATGAGAAATTGAGAAACCAGTGTAAGATGTCTTATGACCTTTAAAAAAACTATTCTGAAATATTTAAAATCAGAAATAACATGACTGCTTTATGTTTCTTTACAGAAGAGACTCCCCTCACCGACCCATCCCTTCCCTCTCCTGTCACGGAGATTTATCTCCCTAAACAAACCCCCGACACGAGAGTCTGCGCCTGGCCAGTGCTCACCTTCAGTAACAGCTGGTATTTCATAATTCTCTGCACTGGTTTGATTAACAAATCTGTGAGTTGCAACCTATGACCAAGGCGCTGCTTTAAGTCCTGTGATTTTAAAGGAGAAAGAAAGGTAAGTGTTGTCTTTTAAAGGGCAATGTTAGTCCTTACGCTCGTCGGAAGTGCTAATTCCACCAGAGTGCAAGCGCGGACAGGAGGCCCTGCTGCACAAAAACCAACGAGTGGATACTATTTCTGAGGAAGTCCAAAGTTTACACTTTAGCCATTTAAGCTATTTTTCAAAATAGTCTCTAATGCTTCTTTAATGACCTTCTTTCAATTGCTTTCTTTTATTCATTCACATATTTTAGGTTTAGGCTAAAAATTTAGGTCATGAATTATTCTGAATTTGTAATGAACCTTAAGTTTAAAACTGATTTTTAAAACAAACCAACCAACCCTATTTTCACAATGACCCCAGTCTTCTGAATGCTAAGGGATACAATCATAGATTGAATTCATACTTGTTTCTCTGATTTTATAGGAAAGAAACATAGGTTCAAAACTCTTATAATTGAGGCCAATTTCCTGAATATTTCTGGGTAACAAGTAATATTTAAAGTTTTGAAAAGCAACTATTAACAAAAGATTTGGAAATGCTTTGTTTCTATCTTAGATCTTACCTCAAAAAAGGTATCAATGTATTCTGATACAATGTGCTCAGACTTTGGTTTATTTTGACAATAAACTATGTACATGTGCAACCTTCTCTCCTAGGAATGAAAACGACAAACAGACGGGTTAAAACAATGAGAAGTTAATTAGAATATAAGAACACACACACATTTTAGCATGTTCAGAAAGGAAATTTTCTTAAAATAAAACTGTATGGTTCAGACTCATGGGAGCACATCCCGAGTTCATGGCATAGGTCGGCCTCTTCTCCAAGGCTCCGGAACAGTCCTTCGCTGTCGCTCCCTCGGGTCTAGCAGGCCCCTCACTCGACCGGGCAAGTACCAGTGGCAGGGGAAGGTTGCCCAGTCCCGCTCCCCCTCTCCTCCAGCAACCACCAGTCCGTTGTTTTCTGTATTTATGAGTCTGTTTCTGTTTACTTGTTGAGTTTTCATGTAGTATCTAAGAAAACTATCTACATTTATCTAAAAAGGCTATAAAAATAGTCAGCCCTTTCCAACCATGTCTGTCGGAGGATGGAATTTTTTCCTATATTTTAACTAAAAAACAGCACAATAGATTGAATACATAAGCAGATAGGAGATTCTATCTGTCTTCTATTGAACTAGACTAGTGATTTTCAGCTTTTTTCATTTCACAGCACACATAAACTAATTACTAAAATTCTGTAGCACACTGAACAACATTTTTCCTGATATGACAAAAAAAGGTATTATTTTAATTGATTTACAAAAAAAAAAAATTATCTACGCTTTTTGTTCCAACATGACTTTTTAAAAAATCAGGTACCTATACTTGCATATAAAGATTTCTGGTACCAAGAATTACCAATCAGAGGAAACCTTATTATGCAATGTGACCAATAAGATGCGACTCTATTATATGATCTCTCTCTATATATTTATGGATCAAGATAGGGCATTTACACTCAATGGCTATTGCCATTTTTTATTTGACAATCTAACAGAAAAGAGGTCATTCTTGCGGCACACTGGCTGAAATTTGCTTAGCTAGATATTAAAGAGATTTGCAAAAATATAACTACTGTCACTAATTTTTTGAAAACAGAATAGTTTTTCATTTAAATAAAACCCTTCAATGTTATCCCAGCTGCTTTACAGATACGCACATATTTGGCTTCTACGTGAAACCCACTGCACGTCTAGGTGTGCCACCCTCTCCCCGCACACTCGTTTTCCCACAGGCATCCCCAAATACGCTCGTGCTTCCGGTCTCGCTCGGGTCCCCTTCAGACCACTCCGTGCTGTTGTGAGCTGAAGAGCCGGCTGCAGCCAGGCGACCAGGAAGGCAGACCGTCCGTATGTAAAAGAGCTGGCGAGGACTTTGCTTCTACCTCTCTGACACTGTGCAGTTTGATTTTATGCTTAACCTAAGCACTTCTGTAAATGTGAGTTCACTTTTAGTTTGACAAACTGATTACTAAACATGACAATATCAGAACAGAATATAAATAACAGTATTGTACTTACATGTTTCACAAAAAGGGATCCTAGCTTTTCTGGATCTTCAAGGCACTTCTCCAACTCTCCTAAAAAAAAGCTATAACAAGAGAAGTATTACAACCATTTCCAATTTGGCCTTCTAATTTTAGACTGTGGTTCATAATTCTAAAGCAGTCTGTCTGGACATGAGCTGCTATGGGGCGTAAAGCACTCACAGTGACTTAGGACAGAAAGCAAGAGAGACACAGTTAAAAAAGACAAAGCAGAATGACAGCCTCCCTTAGGTGGCAACTTCCCCTTCCTTTGGGCAATTAACATTTTTTGTCTCATTAAAAAAAAAAAGTGACACATGCAATAATATCCTTACTGAATACTGGGAGAACAATATATGTTTCAAAGCAATGTTTATTATTTCAAAACATTTGGTCCTTGTACCTATAAGTTTCATATTCTTCTATTATAATTATTAGGAGGCTCAAATTGAATAACATGTAAAATACTAGATGTTATCTGTGACAGTTTTATGAAGTTTTCTCAAACATTATCAAAATCAGCTTCTAGGTTATAAATGTCAGCTCTCATTCAGATCAAAATTAGGTATAATCACAGACACAAAATGGCTACGGACAACCGGCCTGCGTCTTCTGGGCTGTAGCTGTCGGTCAGATGGATGCCCACCTCATTATCACGAACATGTGATGATATTTATGCGTGGTATTTTATTAGTCTGCAAACCTGAATACCAATTAATGCTGTGTTGAACTATCTAGCTTTTGGGTTCAAATATCGCCTAGTTCTGTGGACGTCATGGCAGACAGTCTCTCGGTGCCAATTTCTCTGTCTGGTCAGCCAGGACCCCCGTGTTATTTCCCCTTCTCTGTCACAGACTAAAAGCCAGCCTTGGGAGCAGAAGTGTAGGTAAAAGCACCAAACTTTCCTTTATAAATTTCCTGTAGGCTGCCAGTAAGCCTATAGTCTACAGAGCCACGAGTTAAGAGTGCTATTTCTAAAGTTGACCAATCATTTTTATCTGAGCCCAACTGAATTAGATATTATAGGAGATATAAAAAATTAGGACCCTGCACCTGGGTTCAAGAGTTTTACATTATATTAGGAGAGGTAAGTGTTGAAATAATAAAATACCACTGGATACACAGCACGGTAATTCCTCCTTATATTTGTAGAGTATATTACAGCTTCAAAGGCACATTTACACGTTATCTGTGAGGAGGAGAGCGTGCTTCTGATGGGGGTGACCAGGGCTCCCCGGGAAGTGCGCATCTGACTTGGGTTAAGAGGCTGATGACAGTGTGCTCTAAGCCGGGGCAGCTACGCCCATGAGGACAGGAAAGCAGGAGGCCTCTCCACATAACAGGGACCAGGAGAGTACAGCTGGAACATTCCATGATAATAGCAGCAGCTGGTATAAAGCAATCCGTAAATCATGAAGGATTTTTAAAAGTAGGAGCAAAGTGACCTGAAGGGACAGATGTGCAGTGACCAGCTCTGGCAGGCTGCGGCAGCTGCTATAGAAACAGCCCCCACAAGGATGCCCCTCTCATTAGGAGAGGCGTGGCGATGTACTGGGATCAATTTGATTTTCACGGAGAGTCAGGTCTACTTCTTCCATTAAACATCAGCTGGAAAAATGTGTATCTTCAAAACCCTCAGTAATCAATTTATTCAAGAGGTGTCTGTAATTCTTTAGAAACATCTAAGGAGGCTTACTCTATGCAGATAACATTCTAAGTGCTTCGCATGTATTAATTCAGTTCACAAAAATCTCAAGTCAGGCCCAGGCTGTGACCCCGGCAGTCAGGCTCGGCACCCCCATGTGGGACCCCCGGATGGACCAGTACGAAAGAGATAAGATTCTTCTGCGGGCCATGAAATGCTACCACAAAATTCCTTGGCCCATCACTATTTTCTTTGCACCAGCTACCTCCACTGGTTACACAGGTAATACAATGAAATGAACCAATGAATACCCAACCCCATTTGCTGCCATGCTGCAGTCTGGCAGGTGACGGCGTGTGCACACCCTCAAGCATGACGTGGATTTTACGTACTCTCGGTGCCAGTCATAAATCTGATGGATGTTGCCAAACACAATCTTGTCTTTGCCCTTCATGTCATCAGGAACGCCATCTTCTTTCATAAGTGCCATGTAGCCCTATAATAAGCATTTAAAAATGTTTATTTCATTGAACATGTTTGAGTAATCAATTGTTTAGTAAAAGTCATAAAGGATAAAATAGGCATATACTGCATCTTGGAAACAACTCTTTATTTAAAAAAAAAAACAAAAAACCAAAACCAAAAATGCCATATGAAAAGTGTCCTTAACTGGCACTTAAAATATAGTTGATCATTGAATAACACAGGGGTTTAGGGGTGCCAATCCCCATGCACTTGAAATGTACGCACTTGAAAAATGACTCCTCAAAAACTCAACTAAGAGCCTACCGTTGACCAGAAGCCTTACCAATAAAATTAGCTTGATTAACACATATTTTCTATCTTGTATGTATTATGTACTGTATTGTTTAAGGTAGAAAAAAGAAACTTTACTCCGAAAATCATTAAAAGGAGAGAATACGTGTGCAGGACGTATCAGTGGACCCACGCAGTTCGAACCCCGATGTCCCAGGGTCAGCACACGCATCTAAGCAGGACGTGTCCCACTGTCACGGCCACTGCCGGGGGGCTTCTCCCTGACCTGCCTGGCATGCACAATCAGATTTCTTCTGAGGAACTGAAGAAGTTTAAATAAATGCAAATGTTTTCATAAAACAAATCATCTTATCGGCTTATAAATATTAAATATTTGGCCAGAAACATTTCCTCTGTTCTCAGCATTTCTTACAGAAACCGACTGTTTTCCTTTTAAATTATTTAAATAATTTGTTAAATCATGATTTTTTAACAATGACTGAATAAATATATTGCTGAAATGTGATTAAAACTGCCATTTAAAGCAAAAGAAATTCTGCCTGTCCCAGAACCACTTACATATTCAAGGGACTTATTTTACTGTTAATGACTGCAGACAAAGCAAGTACGGTAAGTTTTTCCAGTTACACAATTAACTTATTAGCTGATTAACTTTTAATCAAATATAGACCAAAAAAGTATTGTCCCATACACATTTGCAAAGCTGAAAGAGTAAGTGCTAAATTCTGTACTGTAAAAATAGCTTTCGGGGGAGCTGAGTGTATGAGGCGATGACCATGCCCCGCGCCGAAGGGCAGGGAAACGCGCGGAGCTGGCCCTCGCTCCGCATGACAGGCAGTGGTTTTCCGACCGCTACACAGGACATAGCAACCTCTGGGCAATGGAAATGGTCAGACAATCCTTATGGAAAAACTGTAAGCGAACGATCTGATGTATCCACTGACATTTCCTGAACCGAGGTAGACTGGGGATAGAACTGAATCCACAGCTGGACACACTGACTTTGTCAACCAGTGATGTTCTCATTTCTGTGGTGATTCCCACTCAGGTAACATAATTAAAGGCAAGACTCCCATGTAATAGATACAATGGCTGGGTACTGTAATTTTACAACTTAATTATTAAAAAGAAATTTAAGTCAGGTACACTAGGCAAAAAGAGGCCTTTAAAAGTGCATATAGATTGTTAAGATAACTGGCTAAATTTTATTTTTCAAAAATACTTTTTTTGGGTCAAAAATGTTTTTTAAAGCTTTTGAGAAGGTGTCAGTGTTAAATTGTAACATGATACCCCTTGGTAGACTCTGGAGGTTGATAAAGGTTATGAAATCTCTGAAAACATACCTCAACCACATAGCCGAGATCCCGCACGTAGTCACGCTCTGTCTCCACTAATTCTTGCAAAACATAGCTAGAAAGAAAACAAGTGTTCACAACCCAGACTCTTCATTTTCTAAATGAATTCTTTCACACTTTTGCTTTTGTCAGGTCAGAATCCCCTAGGAGTGGCAACTGAGTGTCCAACTCTGAGTGTTCCAAGGCCTTACAGGTTCACAGGGGATCCTGAGGGCTGAGGAGGCCGCAGTCGCGAGGTACTTCACACTCAGGGTGAATTCCCACCACCAGGCTCTGATCACATTTACAAACACCCAAGAAAAGTTTAGATGTAACTTTGTTATAGTGGCATGACATTATAGGAAGTAGGCTTTTGCTTGTGTTTTGTACTGTTCTTGTTTTGTAAGCTTCATTGGACATACAAGAAAAAAATTTAACTCAGAAGGGTTGGTTTTAAAAGACTTTAATGTAGAAGGTTCAGTAACTGCTTAAGGCCACTCTCAGATAACGGCAGACAATTACGTGATCAGTAGAGCGATGGCATCCTCTGGCCTGAAGTCCCTGCTGCATTTGTTCATTCATTCACTCAACCATCCAGCACTGACAAAGCGCCTCCTGCGTGCCCGGCATCACTGCAGGTGCTGGGACAGAGCCCCAGAACCACCCAGTCTCCGCCCTCACGTCGTGTGCCAGTTTTCCTCCCTCCAAAGGCAAGTTTAAACCTCTTATCGATCAGGACTCTTTTTTTTTTTTTTCCCTTTCACCCTAAGATGTATTACTGGAACTGAGAAACACTACCACTAATGTGTATTTGAAAAGTATTAGTTTCCGGGACTGTATATAATTTTATGTTGCCTTCCTTTTCAACTATGTATACAATAGAAAGTATAGGAGTTTCTCACCAGAAGTAACAGGAGGTATTCTTGTCTCAAATTATTTTTATTTAGGAATAAAGTATAACATACAAATGAAACCATAAGAACTGCAGCTCTGGCTTACTGAGCCCTTCTGGGGCCTGCACACTTTTCAAACATGTAGTTACTCAGAGAGACCCTGGGTCACCTCATTGCACCCAGTCAGACGTGAATCCCAGTCACATTTCTGAAGGTGACGATGGGAGGAAAGCCACCCAAATAATGACAATGAAAACATTTGTGTCTTACTGGCGTCTCTTCAGGGAGCTGGACTTCCTTTCTTCCATCTCATCAATCGGCGAGGAGGAGGAGAGAAGGGAATTGTCTGAAGGGTTGAAGGAGGGGCTGCTGCTGTCTCCCTGGTCAACTAGGAGTGAGCTGGGACGGTCCTCCAGTGCCTGAAAGAAATGACGTCATCAGTCCTGCTTCTGCCTCATCGGAGCTGAGAGCAGGATGAGAAAACCTCTCACTCAGAAGATACAGAAGACCTGATTGCAAAATCAGAAAGTCTGTGTCTGTGAAATCACACAGTATTTAATAACCCCCCTCAACATTAATTTAAAAATTGAGTGAGAGGAGCTGGATAAAAGAGGAACGTTAGAATGCAAAAAAAAAAGTAAATTTCTATACATTGCTCATGATTATACGTAATTAGAAAAACATACAACATGTTTACATCAGGGCACTGCACCCATTTCAAATCCAGCAATTTTCTTTTCGGTTATATTCCTATGGAATGAAAACGTGATCATTTCAGATGAGTATGGAATTGCCTTGGTCAGGCCAGCTGACCCCAGATACATCCAGCCATGTGCCTCCGTGGGCCATGTAGCAGCATCGGCCATCTATATTTCAGTTCAAACAAAATTGGTTTGGTTCTTGATTACCTATGGAGTCTTGACTCACGTCGGTACACACTGATCACTCAGCTAAAAATAACGCCTATTTCCGTGACACCCTGTGCTTTCTGTTCTCTCTCTTCTGGAGGAAGCAGTTGTCATGCTGGCCTCGATTACTCATGGAAAACTCCCTGCATCTAACCTCCCCCGCCACCATCCCCAGGATTTCAGTTTCTGCAGCTGACAGTTTTGTTGTATCTCCTGCAGAACCTCCAGCAAAGCTTTGGGGGTGATCAATAAATCTGTGAGTTAAGTATTGGTGACATCCTTTCCTGCGTTTGTGTGATAATGACTTGCAATTGATTACTTTCTAACTGGCACATATCCATTTTCTTCCTTAGCCTGAATACACAAAGCGTAGGTTATAGTTTTAAAACTTCCAAAGCAGGCCAGCTGGACATAACAGAGATGATCAAGAAGTATTTAGGGACTGAACTGGAGAAGGACGACTGACTTATCTTCAAACATAAAAGCCCAACACAAACTGTAAGAACACAATATTACCTATCAAACCAAACCTCTAACACTTGCTTTATTTTCTCCCCTTCAGAGAGCCGGCTGATTCTGGCTCCATCACCAGGCGTAGCTTGGAGGATAATGACTGTACACATACTCTTGTCCACCACACTCACGGAACTGTGGAAATACACCAACTACTGCTCTGACTTATGAAAAGACAGTTGAGGGACAGGGTTTAATGAGCAAACAGCCCTCTCATTTTTAAAGAATTCGCTATTGACCTTTCCTGGAAGCAAGTGTTTTGCAGCGAGCAGCAGAGCCTGACCGTGCTCCTTGGTTCTGGAGGTCTTTGGCAAGTGACGAGAGTCTGAAGAATGAGGGGGAGGAAGGTCTGCACTGTCTCCTGGCTCGGTCTGCAAGGGAACAGCTGAAGCTTGTCAAGAGTTGACTGTCTTCACTTGAATGGTGAGGAAAAGAAAGGAGAAATGCCCCAGAGCTGCCCTCTTGCAGTGGAGCGAGTGACGAGGCCAACCCCTGGGCTTCGGGCATGTCCACAAGGCCAGTCCTCTATAGCAGGGGGAAAGGCTGCCTGGACCAGAGCCGGCGGGGGGCGGGGTGTCACCAGGCTTTCTCTGACTGCCTGTCCTCTGAGGTAGCTGGTCTAGACCTGGGTGAACACCCAGGGAGAGACATGGGTACAGACACCCTGATAGGATGTGGCCAAGGTTATGTTTTCTTGTCACATTATTGTGGTCCGCTCCCTCAACCACAACGCTGCCTTGGACCCAAAGCGACTGGAACTTGACAGATTCAGATAAATTATCTGTGAAGTCCTTTGGGTCTGGTGGTGTTTTAGTGGGTAAGTTCTTTTCAACTTTCTCTTTCTTAGATGAAGATAGGTCTGTGCAGCTATTTTCTCTTCTGAGGTTACTTTTGGTCAATTAGATCTTAAAAATTGTCCTTTTCATGCAGGTTTTCAAATTTACTTTCAAAGAGTTGAACAAAGTAATGTGTTATGACTGTTCCAATTTCCTCAGTTTACTCTTCCCTTATAGTTTGTTATTTTGTGAACTTGTGCTTTCTATTTTCTTTAGAAGCTTGCCTGATATTTATATTGTTTGAAAGAACAAATTTTTGGCTTTATTTATTATCCTACTATTTTTCTGTTTTCCAACTCAGTAATTTCTGTTTGTATCTCTATGAACTCATTCCTTCTGCTTTGCTTTGGTTTATTTGGTTGTTCTTCTACTACATTCAGTTATATGTTTACTTCATTAATTGCCACTCTTTCATTTCTTTATATTTAGATTGCAGAAAACCCCAAAGTCAAATTCAAATAGTCGCTGTGGCTGTCCATTGCTATTGCCATACTGTCAATGCTCAAGAAAGAAACACAGCCTTTAGATACCAGTTGGATTGGGAATGTGGAGACAGGAGACAGGAGCAAACCCCAGGGAACAGGTTTCTGGGTGATTCTGATTTTTCAGATTGAATCCACAGGTTTCCAGGTTAAGAAGTTCAATTCTATGACTACTTAACAGCTGAGCACCTTCTTCCCTCTCCTTCCCAGTCTAATCCATTCATACGGTTTCTGATGCACAGACCAGCCAATCTCCAAATCCTATCATGAAGGCGCTCTAGCCTTTAAATCACTCACAAGAAAATGAACGTGTTGACTAAAGATCTACAGCACAAGGTAAGACAGGCAGGAGTAACTCAAGAGTCACAGGGACCAGAATAGGGTGAAGAACATTAAAATGATTCCCTAGAGTTTGTATTGACAAAAAGTAGTTCCTGTTTGTTATTAGAAGGTTAGTGACAGGACATCAATACAGAGTTATATTTCTCCTGGACCAGAAAAAGAGGCAGAATCTAGATTACCTTCCATGGAAGATGAAGAAGGGGTAAGTCCATCATAAAAACATGAATATGGTTCTCCAACAGGAAAGAAAAGGCATTAGTGAATGCCCACACAACAGAGCCTTGTTAGAAGTTGAACAAACCACACCCTATTCATGACCCCCAGTTTCACAGCTGAGAGACAGGCTTCAAGGGGCTGCAGCAGTCAGTGGGCGTCCGAACCCAAGCCCACCTGACTCCAAAACCTATGTCCTTCCCACAATGTCAGTAACTTTATGTCTGTTAGGAAGAGACATACGTTGAGTAGAACTGGAAAGGGGAAGGAAGAGACATATGTTGAGTAGAATTGAGATAGGGGAATAAACAAGTAAAAGCTGAAAGAGACAAGCCATAGAATTCCTCTCCATTTGGAAGTCTATCTAAATTAATTACAAATGAATCTCAGACCACTTAAAATGGAATTTAAATACGTGCAGAATGACTAGCAAGTTGACAAAGTGTTTCCCTACAGCATTCCTTGGGAAAACTATTTCAATTCATAGACAAGAATGATTTTAATGGTCACATATAATTGATGTGTATGAATGGCTGTTTTTAAAATGTTTAAGGATGCTCGAAACTCACTGAATACAATTTAAGTGTCCTTTGTCTGGATCATTAATCAAGTTCTTCCAAAGAGATAGCCAGGATGCGGTTTAGCTCAATTCATACCGACATGATTCCCGAATTCTTGACCCGAGGAGTCACGTTCTTGAGTTATCTGCCAACGCCGAGCAGCCTATCTTGTCTAAATTCCTAACTTCACATCTAATTTCACAGCCCACTGCATCCTTTTCAGGACAGGGCGCAACTGCCCGAGGGGGGATACCAGGTATAGCAGGGCAATACATGTCAGTCTGAAGTTTTCTTGATATAATTCCCATTTGTCCTAGTTAACCACTTTCATAAGAAGCTGGTTAGGAGCAGGAGGAGAAACTGGAATGATGTGTATGGTACCTACATACAGACTGAAGGAAGGTAAATTCCTAACTTTAAAGAAGTATGTACCCTTTGATGTAGCAATTCCAGTGCTAGAAATTTGCCCTTCAGATATGCGTATAAATACAGATGCAACAAATGTGGATGTTTGTAATAGTGAAAAACTGAAAACAGCTTAATATTTATTAGTATAAAATTTATTTAAACAAATTATAGTATAATCATGTCTCTGCCCCTAATTAGCTGGCCAAATTTTTAAACATCCTATATGCCTCAGTTTCTGCATCTGTAAAATGGGATAACAACCATGTGCACCTACCTAATAGGGGTATTGTGGGGAGTACTTAAAACATGCTTGGCACTTAGAATAGCACCTAGCTTAGAATAAGCCCTCGGTGTATTATCACTGCACCCATTAATGGAATATTATACAGCTACTTAAAAGTATTGAGATAAATCTGTATGTACTGATGTGAGAAGATCCTTAAGATATAGTGTCTTAGGATCTTAAAAACTGAATGAATCCATTTTGAAATAAAAGGTACACACACCCACTCATGTATGTCTGCACCATGAGGGAAACATCTCAGAACTGTTCAAAATGACTACCTCTGCAGGGTGGATTGGTGGGAGCGGCTTGAGGGCTTTTAGTCTGGGAGAGGTGACTTTTAAAAGACGTTAAATAACTTTACAGGGGTAGTACAATATACTAGTCTAAAAAATTGTTACCATTAGTGGTTTTTCTACTTCATAATTAGGAAAACTGAAGAAACACAGAAATATCTGAATCATTTAGAAGCAATGCACACCTGTCTAACTTCAAAGATCGACAGACACCTGCTTTGAGGCTTTAATAAATGAATCCATGTTGACCAGCTGACCATACAAAGGCCACTAAGAAATAAAACCTGCACACAGCCATCACAAATCCTTCTCTCTTAAACAATGTAAATCCAAACGAAAGATCTGAGAGACAACAAAAGAAGAGTGTCAACCTATATTAGTAACCGCTGACCCTGCACACATCTTTAGACAAGACTGGAACTGAACACATTTGTTATGAAGGTGCCAACGTTGAAAACGGTGTGGGTGAAGGAAAGGACTAACTTTGGCTCTTGGGGGGTACCTCTACCTGGTAGCTTTGGGCCAAGACAGGCTACGCTAATAATGTAAATTCGGTGGGGCTTTGATCCATGAGCTGTCTTGATCTATGAAGGGGCAGGGGTCAAAGGTGAGCCATAAGAGCAGTCAGTCTTGTAAATGTGACTGAGCCTCCCAACAATGTCTGAATACCAATGCTTGGGTAAGTGCCCCTGGTTGGCAATACTCTGTACATAATGCCACCCACTGTTGCTAGAAGTCAGCACTGTCCACACTGACTCCACTGGGCAAGGACACCAGGTACCTTGAACCTGGAACCTTCTTGGACCCTATCCCACTTCTCTTTCCTGGTTGATATTAATCTGTGTCCTTTCAATGGTAATGCAGTGCAACTGTGGCTTTTCTTAAGTTCTGGGAGTCCTTCAAGTGAACTATCGAACCTGAGGGTGGTGTTGGGGACCCCAAACATGCAGCCGGCCAGAAGGGAGGGTGGTCCTGGGAACTCGCAGACTGTTCAGGACGCCACAGGCACACTGCGTAGCGCAGAGCAGCATGTGGACAAGGGCACATCCACCTGCGGCAGCGCCTCCGAGCAGCTTCCAAACCTCAGCCTTTCCCTGGGAAGCCTTACCATCTTGCTTTTCACGAGTTCCTCAATTGCACTGACAAGCTCAGCTGCACTCGGCGTTTCGGAGCTGGTGGGGCGGACTAATAACCGAGAAGAGGCCTATGGAAGAAGTTAAGAAAAAGAAAGGGAAGGGGGAGGGGAATGCCTTATGTTAGTCACTGGACAGACAGTACATTCTCCTGCAAGCTCAAGCTCTTTTTAAAAGTAATTCCAGACAAAAAGACCACAAGTTTGTCTTTGTTTGCATTTATTTAAAGTCATCCTTTCAAATTTACAATATTCTGACATGAAATATTAAATAAAACCTGTCTCGGATACATGTGGAAAGCAGACAAAGTCTGTTTTTAATCTGCAATCGTGTAACATCATAACGTTTTTCAGAGAGGTGACTGGGCACGAGGAAATTTTAACTACAACGTTTGTAACTGCTGGCTAGGCCATTGGCGAAGGAGGGAAAAAATACAGGACCTGATCGATGGAAGAATGAAAGGCTTAAGGTCTAATGAATGAACCCTTAAATAACCAGGAAACAAAACAAGATACTTAAAATGGCTTTACTGTGCTTATGGGGTTAAAAGAAAGGAATGAGAAAGAAAAGGAACCAGGGTGCGCTGACCAGACAGGAAGGAGGGGGGACGAGCTCACCATTTTCTGTGCCATCCACTTCCCCAATGATTAGTGCAGAGTACAGAAGATCTGTGGCCGCACAAGCTACCAGATGCCGTTTACGGCTAGAATCAGGGTGCGCAGGGGTGACAGTTAAGGAATCTGGGGGAAGGGCTACTGAGTTCAAGTTCAGTAATTAGCAAACACAGTGTGTTTGCAGATTACTTGCGCCGTTCATTGATTGGAAACTAGAAGAGGGGCATAATATGAACCTCACTTCATATTAAGGACAGCGGAGATGCATGCAACACACAACTAGCTGTCCTAACAATGCACTTCTCACAGCAGACAGGTATGGATTTATGCATTTACAACGAGGCTTTTACATAGGTGGATTCAGGTATGCGCTTTGCAAAATGAATGCTGACTTGGTCTAATGACATAATGAAATATGAGATGAAGAAAACAAGGAAAAAATTCAAATGGAGAGGTAAGGAAACTGAGCCAAAACAGACACAGAACACAAATCAACATAATGCTGCAGTGAAAGTTTACAAAAAGAGAAAACAGAACAAAACAAAATATTAGTCACAAGATAATATACTCTCGGGGAACATCACTATAAATTTTTGTAAATGAAGAATTGCTGTTGATAATACCCTGTGAGGTAACACACTAACCAATAAATGATTTTAGCAAACAGAAGACTATTGTGTAATCCCCTGCTTAAGTGGAGAAAAATTTATTTGGTGAATAACCAGGCTTATCACCTCACTTTTGGCTACCAGTCCAAATTTAAGAAATTTCAGTTTTCTGCTTTTAAGAATGGGATAGCTTAGAATACTACAAACTGGCTTCAGAATTGTTAAGAGAAACAACACAGCCCCATTTCCTGCCGAGTGTACTCTCTGCAGTCGGGGGCGAGGTCCTCTCTCATCTCGGGTCCCACCCACCCCCGACGGTGTGGGGTATGGTATGCACCTAAGATGCCCCAAACTCCAGGTTCAAACCCAAGCCACATCCTTCAGCCAAGACCCACAGCTCCCTGACTGTGTACTGAGTGCCACAAAGGAAGGAGGAGGTAAGATCTACAGAAAAGGGGCTGGAGAAAGGTCTGCCTTGAGTTAGACTCCTGTGTCATCTGCCTTGGCAGCTGTCAATCACTGGGCCCTGGCTGACCCCAGGCCATAAAGCAGGCAATTTGGCAGGTAATCGTAATAGCGTGATAGCGCTGAGGAGGGAATCAGGAAAGGGAAACCGGGGAAGAACTGGGAAAACTGATGGAGACATCTGTTTCATTCCTAAAACTTAGTTATTGCCAAAAATATAAAAGATAAAAATCACCAGTAATGATTTCATAGCACAGTTTTCAACACCTGGCAATTTGGAGGAGCACAACAGGCTGGGATGCGAGAGGCCGTGCGAGCCAGCCATCAGGTTTCCTTTTTGATATTTTAGGGTTCTACGCTTGGGATATATTAAATAATCATAGATTATGTAAGAATGCTAAAAAACAGCAAGAAAAGGCTGACTTGGCTTGAAGCCTCCACACAGATCCAAGGAGGAGTTTCTGAGCTAACGCCCGCCCTTGGACGCCCTATCCCCACACCCCAGTGTCATCTGGGTTTTGGGTCTGTTTGAAAAAACACAGCAACACAATTTCATCTGAACCCAACAGCCATGTGCAAAAACAGCTAACAGAGAGAGCCGGGAGGCCTCACGCCCAGGGAGGACACAGCCTCGCAGACTGCGCGTGGCTCTCCAACTGCTCTCTCAGGGACCCTGGTCAGGACAGTAAAAAAAAAAAAGAACATTACTTTAAAAGTAGCAATTAATTACTGCGGCACCATTAAAAAGGCGCTGAACATATTTACACAAACACATGTGTATGAGAAACTGCACACGTCGGCCCATTACTTAGTCTAACTGGACTCTGTCATCCACAAAGATTTCGGGGTAAATACCAGTGGAGTTTGCCTGGGAAAGCAGTACGTTTCCCAGGTGCCCCTGCACAGCCCCGGAGTCACCTAGCTTCTGCGGTGAGGCTGGAACAGGGCAGCTGCTGCAGGGCCCTCCCCTCGTGCGGGCGGCGCGGCCCCCTACCTTGTCGTCCTGCGAGTCTGGCTGGAGCAGGCTGTGTTGCTGGATGGCCATTGGCGGGGGCAGGGGCACGGCGTCGGCCCCCTCCTCCCCTTCTTCTTCGCCGCAGCTCTGCATGCCTGAGGATGAGGACTTGGAGAGCGTGCCGCTGCTCAGGCCCTCGTTGCGGCCCCGCTGAAATTGAACCAACATTCGCTCATTATACTCTAGGCCCTGATGCTCAATGTCAGTTCACAGAAAAGCGCCCTAAGGGGTTAACTGGAAAACTACAGCCTGGAAAAAGACAGAAACTCAGATGGTGGATCACAGGAACAAGCTCTTTCCAACCCTGACGGTAACTTCTCATTCCTTCCCGCAGCCCAACCACCTTGCTTGCCAACTTGGGACGACAGAAGGACCACTGAGTGTGTCTTTTGAAGGAACTGCCAATGGTATCCGTTAGGCTAGGAACACATTTCATCTTTGAGGAGGAAAAGAAAAAAGTTCAGAAATTTGAATCATAACCCTCATGATGATTCAGGTCCTTTGGCCCATTTTCATTTCCCTTTCGGTACCCTGCTAGAACAAAATTCATGGAAATAATAATAGCATAAAAAATGCAATCCGAGGTGCATTTTTAAGAACCTGAATGATCACATGACTATGCCTCTATTCTTTCTTTAAGAAAAAATTTCAGTATTATTTCTACTAAGAGGACACAGATTTAGAAAAAAAGATGAGGACAAAATGAACCATGCATTCCAGTGCAAATTCAAGGCAAAGCATGCCCAGGAAAAAAGCAGCAGAAAACCTGCATCTGCAAAATAAATTAAATCATACAGAGCTGTCCTTTCTCTCCATCTGACCTTTTCTTTCTGAGTCTATAAAAGATCCTGGCGGGTCCAGTTAAAAACACTGTGGGCCCCCCACCGATACCACCAGTGCTTTTGGCCCAACTTGGGGATCATGAAAGAATTTTGTTTAAGGTATAATTTAAAGTCCTCTTGTTCCCCACAAAAGGAAATGAGAAAAAATTCCTGGCTGACCACCTACATTTGTCTTTGATGACATGGGAATAATTCCGTGTTTACTAATGGGTTAGCAAAGTAAATTAACTGGGTATTTCCTAATCAGGACAGATGCAAGTGTGAATATGGTGGGGGGTGGGGCGGGTAGAAATACTTGGAGGATACAAACATTTCTCTAGTCCTTCCACACCTGAAACTTGTGCTTTCCCTGCAATGAGCTACTCCCGGGGTTTGGTGCTAACCTCGGGGACTGCTTAAATCTTTGGCAGCATACGCCGGCACCAGCTGGCACCTCCTGGTCTTGTCCCTGGTTGAATGAGAAGGGCTGAGGCGGCATGGTATCCACTTGCTCTGGAGCAGGCCTGGGGTGCCCAGGCCTTGAGGGTGGGGTGTGGGGCATGGTCCCCTGATTTGTTTATGACCCTGCTGACGTGGAAGCAGCTCTTTCCGGAACCTTTTGCCCACTGAATCCAGCAGTCTGCTCACAGGGAGCTGAGTGGGCTCCCTGCTATTTCCAGGCACACACAGAACACAGAACCAAATGACAGTGGTCACAAGACCAGTGGCTATGCCTACAACTGGGGCTCTGACCTCTTCGACGGTCTCGTCCTGTGGGGTGGCCGCGCTGTCGTCCGAGTCTTTCTGCGAACCGGCATCGGCACTCTTGCGGACCTCTCTGCTCTTCTTGTGCTTGTGTGCCAGCTTTTTCACATGCCCGTCGGCTTTGCCACTGCTCAGCCGCCGCACTGGGCTCGTGAGCCACTTGCGCAGGGTGTTGCCCGGGCGCTTGGGCCCTGGGGAGCTCTGGGCCCCCATCATGTGGGGTTGCAGGGAGGCCACAGAGGCAGGTGGGCTGGCATCGTTACTGGAGACGGACAGCGAGTCTGAAGGGACGAGAGAGAAACAGCAAGAGTGACTGAATGGCCCACAAATGCTCCCAGTGTCCAAGCAGGGCCATTTTGCCCACAGGCCTCAGCGGCACCCAGTGAACGTGGAGATCGTGTGGACGGCTGACAGCAGTACCCGCTGGCTCACCTTACTGAGCAGAAATGTCACCAGAGAAGGCCCATCCCTCAGGCACACACCTTTCGAATGTTCACCAAACTTGAGTTACACTACGGATGATTTCATTCAAGAGGTCCTGCGCCCTCCAAGAAACCTCAAGTCTCCAATCCAGAATCATTATCACAGATTTAAAATGTCATTATCACTTAAAATGCCACAGACATTGGCAGACAGAATGTTAAAGTTATTTTTACCCATTTTTTGATAAACAAAAACGAAGAAAGAATGGTTTAAAGAAGAACTTAAAGGAAATTAAAAACTAATCCTGCTGGATAAGTGCTACTAGTCTGACTGACTCCCAAGTGAATAAAAGCACAACTCAATAAATGAACATATTTGTGTGTGTGTGTGTGTGTGTGTGTGTGTGTGTGTAAATCAGTATAGAATTGACCAGGTCAGACTTTGTGACAAATGTTAGCCTTCTGGCAAGTTCAGTGTCAAAGGCGCACACGAGCTTTGGCAAAGCTGATGGGCGTACCAGGAGACCCAGCCACGGCCCCTTGCTCACAGCCACACTTTGAAACTACACAGGTGTGTCCAACACCCGCAGCAGTTACTTCACATGCTGTACATGTGAAACAGCAACAACGAACAAAACAACAACACATTTTTAGTAGAAATATGTGAGAAGTTCTTTCTCAACCAAAATGCTGTACAGAGGATATATCCAATCTTCTTACTAGATCTTAAAAATTAAATATAGTCAACCCTGAGTTGATTTTTCAGGAGAACAAAGGCGATATAAAAAAAACGACTTAGGGAACAACTGATACTCAACAGACCCATGGAGTTATGTATGAGGCATTAAGTTACTTTGCAGACTGAAAACCAGAGACCTTGGACCCTGTCCCTTTCCCGAGAGCTCAAATCTGGGACTCTACCAGTGAAACGGAATAAACACTTTACTTTAGGAAATGGCATGAGGAAGAATATCATTTGCTATGCTTGTTATTTTCCGAAATCTTTTGAAGTCCCAACAATAAGTTAAAACAAATCATTGAAGATTCGTTCACGCAGACACCTGTCCCAGCGGCATTTACCGCTGCTGGCACTCCAGACCATTATGTGACGCAGTTAGAAAGAAGGGGCGTTAATTCCTCCCAATCCTGTGATTACAGTGAGAGTCAGCGGCAGCTTCCCTCTCAAGCTCCAGACGCCTGGACTAGACAGCGGATCCCCGTCTAATTGCTGTGCTATGGCTTTCCTGGCCCAAGCCTCGCGTGGTAGAGGGTATAATCTTCCATAAACAGATGCGGCATTTTAAGCCGAATCTCTCATTCTTAAAAATCTAGATTTTCTCAAGGGCCAACTTTGGTTCAAAACTAATCAAGCATTCTGTTGAAGGGTAATAATCTTTCCCCTTCTATACATATGGGCATACGTTTTTATATACAATTTTATTTATTTTTAAATGAGTTACTAAAACATTCCCACATCAGTCTTATTTTCCCACAAGGTAGGAGAGAATGACACCGTTCAGCTGACATTCACAAAGTACGTACGTCCGAGGGACTTTCTCAGGTGCTGAGAAAAGGCAAGAGATGGAAACGTGGTCCCTCGCCTTAGAAACTCTTGGTGCTAATGACAACAGGAAGGACCAAAGAAGAGGATTTGGATAACCCATGTACCAGATGATAATTTATTCAACTAAAGTTTGTTTGTTTTTTAATGTACTATTAGCAAGACAGGGTGACATATTTCAGTCATTTAATGTGCTGTGACTCAGAGCCAAGCCCTGACAGAGATGAATAAAACTCACTTCCTTCATTCATGGGGTTCATCACACAGTGTTTTCTGGAATCGCATAGCTATGGTACAGGCAAGAATGGGCACAAGCTATAAGCGAGTCCAAATGCTTAGAGGCTGAGAAGAAAGGGAACCGGGTGAAGTGATCACAGAGGGCTTCATGAAGGAGGCGGCACTGAAGCTGGCCTTTGCATGAGCTGGTCCTGATGCCTGTGGGCTAGAGAATGTAAGCTCATGAGGGCAGGGGCCTCCTCTGTCTTGTTACTTGATATACACCTAGGGCCTCTCCTACAGTAGGTGCTTATTCTAAGAACCCAATGGAAACATCAGAAATCTCCAGCCTAAAGAAACAGAGCAAGCTGAGTCACAGCTCATATTTTATGGGGAGGTATATCTTCAATGGACATGTCCTCAGTTGAATAACTGCAAGGACAAAGACCTAGGAAGGCAGTGCTCAAGTGGAGGTGGGACACCGTCCTGGGCAGGTTGAACTGCGACTGGGTGTCACTGGGGGCAGTCCACTGTGCCTTGTGTGAACTGGGGGCGGCAGGAGAAAGACTAAGGCCATAGACTTTAATAAAACTAAATCAACTGCAGGTCTTAACACTCATAAGCAGAATACTCAGACATCAGCAATAATGGGAACACCACCTCAGTCAAGAAATGAACTTCACGTGTATTTTTGTGCCTCAAAATGAGAATCTGGGGGAATTTGACAAGGGAGCCATGCAGCACAGAATATAAATTTTAAGGGCAAAAAGGACACCTACCAGGAATTCTGAGATAGTCTCTTTGTCCAGCAAAACTTGCAGGGTTACAGAAAAGTGAGAGAGCTCTAGGCAGTGGGGAGAAGTGTGGGCAGGACACCCCCGAGGCGCCAGCCGGCAGACCCAGCAGGCCCTAGCAGGCAGGACAGACGTACCCAGTCAGTCAGCGACGCTCTGGGGGACCTCTGGCTTTAGGAGGGATTCTCAGGACATTCTAGCCTCGCTTGGGAAAGGAGCTAGTGGTTGTACAAATTGGTTCTAAAGAAAAAGACATTAAGGATGTTGTTTCCTAGCTTCTCTGTGGGTTCAGCTGCATAGGAGTTGGTTCTTTGTACTTTGGAAAGCAGGTTCAAAAGAGATCTCCTCCCCATCTGGCAGGTGGAGCCTTATAAACATGGCCATGGCCTGAATGGGCCACCGCAGACCCAGGCCAGGGGCAGAGCTGCCCAGTCAGAGCCCCAGAGCCAGAACTACAGACAAACTGATGTTCCGAAGGGAACAGCACGTCTCTTCCTGAGCTGCTTTTCATCAAATTACTTAAGTGACCTTATTTCACTTTACTGGAATATTTATGACCTGGGGGGGGGGGGGGGGATGCTAGCCACAATTATAAACTAAAACAGGAAGTTTTTGTCAATTTTTAAATTATATCTTGAAAAACAATTTCATTTCACAAGTCTCAATATATAGAGGAGAAACTTCGTCATCTGTCTCTAAGGCCATCAGATGTTTTGTCTAGCGCGTATCTGATACACTTGTCACAATCCTGGTGATTAGTGAAAAAAATAACCAGAAGCAAAATAGATAAATGACTCCTCTTCTACTTTGTTTTTAACAGTAATGCTCAATTCTTTATGTTTTTGATACTGCCTGAAAAAATAAATTGTATTTTATTTTTCTTTTTAATACACAAACTCCTTTTCCCCAAATCAACAGATTCTAACAGTCCACCTGTATGCTCTTTAATGGATTGTGATACAATGCATAAAGCAGCTTTAAAAACTTAAGAACTATTTAAATACAATTATTAATAGAATGAAATAAAGTAATGCCATTATTTTTAGTTATCTGAAGAACAGACTTTGCCCACTAGCCCAACTGCTCTGTTGGAAATTTTAAATTAACAGGTCCTAATGAAATCCAGTAGGATTCAGTTTTCCGATGTCACTGGGCATAAGGTAAAGCGTAAATCACACGATAAACACACAGCTGTAGAAGTTCTCCTTGGGAAGAGCTTAAATTACTGGTCTGCACGTTGGTGACTTTTTCAGAAGAGCTCCCGGTGGCTGAGATACGCTGTGTCTGCAGAGCCCTCCCAGGGTGGCGTGCGCTCAGGGTCCCCCTGCCTCTGAGACCTCACCTTTCTGCTCTGAACGGACTATGGACAGCTCACGCCCATTATAGGAGGTATCCTCAGGCCAGAGCTCTCTATAGCAATTACAGGACAGGATAGGAAGCCAGACGTGACCTTGACCCCAGGTGAGCGCTGGCCTGGTATGTGTTCAACCGCCTGCCCCACTGCCAGCAGGCCCTGAGGCACAACCTGGGAGCCTAACAGGTGCATGTTGGGTAAAGGATGATGGGGTGAATGAGTGCGGCGACGCCAGCTGCAGACTGTTTCCCAGCCTCAGCGTGCCGCCTGAAGCCTGCGGTCCCTCGTGTGCGGTGACGTCCTGATGTGGAGTGCGCCCCTGTCAGTTTTGAGATGAGCGACAAGTGACACCTATTTTTTGTCAAGTTCCAAGTTTGTGCATTATTACTTATGAATGGTAATCTGGAATAGCTCGAGGCTATCCTTATACCGGCCTGCACTATACAATGCTTCCTTGCAACACAGAATCAGGCTGGATGCCTCTTGGAGAGGGTGGTGTGCACGAACACATCACCCATCACGCAGGGCGTGGGCATGGGGGCAGAAACAGAGTACAGGAACGAAGTGCCTGAGAGCTATAACAGAAAACTCACTTGTCACTCTCTTACCTTCCCCTCAACTTCCACCTCCTTGGAAGAAAAAAGGACTTACCACTCAGTACTGCGCTTTTCAGTCCATGAACTTTCACCTCTAAGAGAATCCCTGCAGCTCATGCCTTGCTTTGTTTGGGATGTGCTTTCCTCTTTTCAGTGTGGGGAAGCTCCCCTGATTCAAGGTCTGGGTGGAGGATTAACTAAGGATGTCAAAGGAACTCCAGGCTCATTAAGGGTCTGAGTCTGAGCCTGGCCGCTACAGGATTCCATGAAGTAATGGGAATGAATGAGCTTTACCAACTGAAAAGTGCTATTTACAAACGTAGGGCAGCTGAGGCATC